AGCTTTTAGATATACGCGCCGGTAGCAGTACCTACGAACGAGGACCGACATAAAATAACCCGAAAAGAAAACGACCGATAGCCCCGAGAAAACGCAGATTTAGACGGTAATTTCGAGATAAGAAACGACGAAATTTACGGCTAAAAACGGCGGAAAATTTTTTTCCGGAGAAAGATAGTAGAGCGCTAGGGCATAGCGCTTATCGACGAGTTAAAAACGCCCGAGGCGTAACATAAGGAAGAAACGGCGTTAAAATAACGACGAAACGATAGGTTAAGTTAGGATAATAGTACTTCGATAAAGGCGTTAGCGGCGCTAGTAATAGACGGAAGGACGCGCCCCCGCGCGTTCTTAGGCGGAGCCCTTAGCTCCGTTAGCGGACGATAAACGATGGTCTTTAAACGAGTCGGACGGCGTATCCTAATACGTCTTCTAACGGAAGATAGACGATGGTCTTTAAACGAGTAGGGACGGCGTACCTTAGCACGCCTTCCGGCGGAGCCTCGCGGCTCCGCTAGTAGTACGGATAGGCCCCTAGCCTTTAAACGGAAGGATAGGCCCCTGGCCTTTAAACGGCAGTAGACGAGAGAGCGCGCCTTAGTACGCTCTTAGGCGGAACCCTTAGCTCCGCTAGCGGAAGATAAACGATAGTCTCTAAACGAGTCGGACGGCGTATTTTAGTACGTCCTTTAGCGGAAGATAAACGAGGGTCTCTAAATAGCGGTAGACGGACCGACGATCCCGTAGCTACGGGAGCTAGGCTAGACCTAGTAGGCGCTTATACGCGACTTCGTACGTAAGGCTTTAGAGCTCTACGATTTAATAGGAAGATCGGGATTATCCTCCGGGGAATAATAATACCCCGGGGAACGAAGATAGTAGCCCGGGAAGCGGATAACGTAACCCGGGAAACGGCGAAGGAGGAGGGGCTTTCGGGGGGAAGTAGCTACCGGGAAAGCGTACCCGGTAAGCAAAGAAACCCTGGAAACCTACGGAAGAGATCCCGGGAAAGAATAGGACCCGAGGGAAAAGCGCCGGAAGGCTAGAGGCGCCCGATATAATACCCCGGGAAACGAAAGGCCCCGGGAAGGAAACGGCGGAAGAAAAGGAGACCCCGGGGTATAGTATAACCGCCGGGGAGGAAAGGAAGGAGGCCTAGGGGTATATTAGTACCCTAGGAGGCGGAGGTAGTAACCCGGGGAGCGATTAGCGTACCCCGGGGGACGGAGGCAGTACCTAAGGATACGGTACGTATCCTAAGGCGCGGAGAAAACGGGTTAGGTTATTAGGGCTAGACGCCGAAAAAAAGGGCGGCAGGGCGTACTTTTTTTTTTTCCGGGAGGGGACCTTATGTAATAAGTTATGCCTATAATAAGGCCCTAGCTAGTACTAGGGTATAGTACGTAATCAGGCCCTTAGTACCTACGGAGGATAAGGCTAGCTGTCGTAGGTACGGGCCATACGGCGTACCTTTTTTTCCTTTTTCTCCTCGTCTAGCTTTAGTTTATTAACATACGGCTTTTACCTAGCGAACAGCTCTTAAAACCGTAACATACGGGAATGGAACCCTATATTAATAAATTAGGTTATAAAGGTTAGGAGGATAATATCGGGTAGTAAGGCCGTTACCTCGGCGACCTACTAAGGAAAGTCCTAAATAAACTACGAATAGCTTCGGTATTAAGGTACCTAGGTACTAAAGTACGGAAGTACCTCTGGGATATATTAGGACGAGATAAGGACTAGGAAACCTAAGAAGGAATAAGGACCTAAGAGACCCCCTATAGAATTATTAGTTAAATTAAACCTATTCCAAGCACATCCCCTTGTCATAATCCGTACGAAATTATGAAAGGTCTTGAAATATTAATAACGATAGTAACTCACGTATAATATAATAACCATGCCTCATCGTTATTCTTTCTTGCTATACCGTTCCAAAACGGCCACACCCTGCCTGTGAACCCGAAGCCAATAGCATCCGATAATGTGAACGTTAACGTGTTCGAACTCTAGGCTACTTAGAACCTCGTTAACTACAAGAAAAAAACTCAACCAAGACATCGTTCGCGATTTCCGAGGGTTATATGTTTATATCGCTGTTTTATCAAACACTCTGCTAGATACCGTGTCAGACGTCTTGTTTGGGTACGGCAGTGCCAAGGTCGTCTAGACCGTATCTGATCATATAGCATGCCCGTCACGTAGGTCTAAGCCTCAGGTCGCTGTCTAGACAAGAGCAGAAAGGGGGGACTAAGCGTACCCAAGCCGAGTTGAGTGTATATACAGGTTAGCTAACTCCACACTCTCTTTTCTTCCTACTAGTTAGCTAGTAAGTCAACACCTTGCTTGTGGCCCTCTCGTTGAGGATCGTGTCGCCTCCGACATATTATCTCTCCGACTGAGAGGCTGTGTTCGTTACCTCCTGCTAGCCCAGACAAGACATTCTTCCCCATCAGCAGGGGTAAGGAAACTTATAGTCATTTCGGTAATAAAATTGTCACAATTCGCTGTCCTGGCCTCTTCCATCTCCTTTGCCAACGAATGTCTGCTTCCAACACTAATGTCATCCTCAGTGCGTGATCGCGGTGCTAAACAGATCTCAGTTAGTATAGAATGGCCGCTATTATGTATTCATATGCTGCTAACCCCTTATGCTTACAGGCCCATGTTCCGCAACCAGGATGGTTCACGCGACATGGTTAAGTGGACCAAACAATAGGACATCGGACATGAGAATACTTATCTAACCAACCTTGTGGTAGGCTAAGAACAACAAATTATTGCCACATAAAAACATAAGCACCTACATCCAGTCGTTAAGAGATATGTTAGGTAAGGTAGAATTCCCTACGTGATACCGATCTATCAGCGGTACTGATAGTCACGAGATACCTCCAATGCGTCCCAAACGAGCATATCTTAGCAGGCGAATTATTGTTACGGTTATTCAAAACACCACCTCTAGGCCTAGCCATCGTATCCAACCCCTCTTCTAACGTGGCCCAAGTCCCCAAAAAAATCTCAAGTCGTAAACAAACCAGTGACTTATTTCATTGGCCCAGTAAGCACCCAGTAACGCGGTGTACCTATATTATGGTGAGGGCCCGCCCCCGGCGGTCACACAGAGGGGCGATACACCAAGTACGCAAGTCGCCGCCCCTTATATCATATATCTGAGCACCCGGGTGGAAAATCTCACTTTCCATTGGATTCTCATTGCCCTTAACCGCTATTATGGGCATCCTGTCGAGGAGCCTGTGTAGTTGTTCAGCCGCACCTCTGGCCCCCTTTTCTCTCGGCCCCCAGAAGAGCCAATAAGGAAGTCCTAGTCTCAGTGGATATCTCAGGGCGGTAGTGCATTGGGAGACACGCGTTAGTCCCCTAGGGGATTAGAATAGTGAACCCAAAGGAGGCTGAATGGGTATACGGCTATGTTCTTAAGATACTCTATCGGATCTAATATGTCATAAACTTTGCTCCTCTCTCAACTGTGAGAGGAGACAATCCTGCCCTTGGCCTCAACCACATGTGGCCCAAAACCACGGTACGACTCACGACGACCTCTTGCAGGTTAGATATGACTTGCGCGCACACTTTATCTCTCCCTCTTCTGACACCGGCATTCACTCCAACGTACTCTACCGTTCAGCCACGCTGGTGAGATCGCCATATTATATGTCGTAGGGGTCCCCGCAAATAAGGGGCCAGGCGAGAGAGATAATGACAATGATTAGCAACAGGGGTAACAGACTGGGGTGAACGACCCCTTCCCCCCTAAACCCAACATGTAAACAGTAAAGCAATGCCTGAACTAGCATACTAACAGGTGGTATTATACCATGCCAGCCCTGCCGTAGTAAGAAGTAAGACGTCAGTAGGTCTCCAGTCTTATTTTGTCTTTTCCGTCAAGATCCGTTTTCTTGCCGCCAGAATATGCGCAGTCCATCTTACACCGCTGATGCTGGGGTGGAGAGAATGAAAGAATTTCAGGGACCCGATCGGATGAATAAGGACCATTCGTCTTCATGAAGTGGGGTCGAAAAAAAAGATGAGGTGGGCAAAATAGAAATGGAAGCACACAAGACGAGGTTAGAGAATCCGAAGCAGGTAGATCGACGGGGGCGACGCGCATCCTCGAGCACACGAAATCAATATCGCCGGCGGTCCCGTGTGCAAACAATTACCTCAACCTCCCGATACCTCCTTCTTCAAGCAAATTTGTTTTGAGACACCACCGCGTAAATCGAGAAGAGTGTGGCAATGGATGGTTTACCACGCGGATAAGGATCGACGAGCCGGCGATGGATCGACGGGTATCTAACCGAGCCGTCCTGCATATGTGAGAGGAAAGGTTCTGGGTCGAGGACTGGATGGCTGCGAGCCAGTGGCCTGCATCCTGGCGCAACACACCAGCCGACAACACGAAGCGCCATACGTCCGCCGGCGTGCCTGCTGGGCACTATTCCGACTGTTAGTGGTAGGTCCATTATCCGGTCCCTCGGAGCTTGGGAGTTTGTTGAAAAAAGGGGGTGCCGCTCGATTTGGAGTTGGAGGCGAAGAAGGCCCGACTGGCTTTCCTGAAGTTGAACGCCCGACAAAGAAAACAGAGGCAGGCCATCGAGGCGCATGTGTGCTGCAAGGAAACTCTCGACGCTCGAGGCGAGGCCCCGTACAGACGAGCTGAAAAAGGAAATCTAGGTGAGGCGCTGGAGACCGGGATCGCTTCCCTGCAAACGGCTCCGTCTCGTCCTCTCTTGGAAACAGGAAAGGCGAGAAATCGTAAAATGAAAAGCCTCCACGCGTCCCCATCTGTCCCTGGCAGCAGACAACTCTTTCCCCCCCCAACATTCATACAGTACTGACTGAACTGACCGGCTGACTGACCCCCGCCCCTCCCACCCTCTCCCCCCTCCCTCTCCCCTAGATACGTCGCACCGCATACCGCCATCACCCGGATGCTGAACCAACCGGGGAAACTTAGAGACAGAGCAGTGAGTTTATCCCCCACGGAGGTTTCCCGCAGATCGTCGGCGGCCGTCCGTATGCAGATGCGCGGATCCGCCGCTGCCACTCCTTCGACCAGAAGACCTGGTTGCTCCCTCTACTCCATCCTGTGAGGCAACGTAGCTCTGGGGCGGAGGAGCATGAGACTCATGAGTGTCTGGGACGTATACATGGCCGTTGGGGAGAACAGATTCAGGGCTGGCTCCGCCGCTAGACTCGGAACCTCGTCGAGAAGTACCGGCCTTGGTACCACCGTATATATAGCTCAGCCCCGGGCCAGTGTCTTCGGCTGACCGGAGGGCATGATCACTAGATGTGTAAATCACATCGGAGGCTGAAGCCGCGCTATTCAGGTAATTGGTGTTGTCGTTCTGACCTGTCGGCCGATGCAGGACGCCAGACGGCAGCGCGGTCCCAGCCGAGTATTGTGTCTCGAAATTTGAGCTCAAGCTACCGTAGCTGACCTCAGACATCGACCCGGTCGGTGAAGCTTTTGTATTTGAATAAGCATTCCCAATGCCATCCGGGCGGTACCCAGATGAGCCCGTAAGGGTACGGTTCACCTGAGGAAGTAGGCGGTCTGAAGGCACCACACGATCAGACGCATTTGGCAGCGAGGCAGCCATCCCAGACAAGGAGAATCCAGTAGCAGAATCACTGCTTACTGTCGGGCGTTGTATCAGGTTACCGTAGGGGTAAGAGGAGGTCTCGTTATCGACGTAGAGAGACTTACCCGAGCCGTATCGCCCGTATCCCTGCACCATATGAGCAGGATCATGGCTCAACATCGGGTAGGAGTAGTTGAGGCCGTAATCCACCCCATCATTCTGATACCCTGCTGACCATCCCGGCATCGCAGAATAGTAACCCTTACTGCCATTACCATACGGGTACTGATTGGGTCGATAAGAATTCACACCGTCCCCAGCAGACAGGTCCGAATATTGAGATATGGAGCTCAAGGGAGAACCCGCAATCCGAGCCTGGTGGCTATAAGGCCGTGCCGCTTCGAGATTATACCCGAACTCGTTGTTGTCGTTCCTAAGATGGGTCTCGGTCGATGACACCTGAATATTTAGAAGAATATTAGGGAGCCGACGCTAGGAGTATATATCCACTATGTCTTCTTTGCCTCCTTCCTCCTCATTATCTTCTTCTTTTTTGGATGCTTTGGCGGGAAATAGGGAGGGGGGTGTTACCCGTAGAAACAGGCATGGTTCGTGGCCTGCATTCTTGCAGTTCGAGCATGGAAGTCCATGTCCCGTGTCGCCACTACATCGTATCTTGCGCTTACGACACCGGCCGCACTTTAACGTGGCTTCATGTCAGCGTCTACTATAGCTTCTTCGGCTGACAAGAGTGTAAGGGGGACCAGCTTGGTCACGCAAAAGGACAAGAGGTAGTTACGTCGACTTACTGCTACTGCAATCCTCTTCCGAGGTTGTGATTCAACGTCCCCTTCGCGTTCGGCCATGGTGGCTGTGCGGCTATCTCGAGAAGAGAGGTAAGAGCGACGATCTGAGTAAGATACGGGGTATGGTGGACAAGCGCGGCTATATCGTCTACCGGCTTCGCTTGGGGGGTAGCAGGTCGGAGTCACCATTGTATAGGTGTGTATTCGTTTATATGGATATCTGTATGTGCGCGTGCGTATAGGTGATTCTGCCACCTCTCGAATTCGGGCGGCCAAGTGCGTGAGAGACAAGGACAGTGTTCAGCCAGCTCCCGTGCTATTATCAGAATTGTGTCAAGGGGGAGGGGCCTTTTTCTGCTCTACGAGACGAAAGGCAAAATATCGATGGGAAAACGATGAGTTCTCCCAGCGAGCGAATAACAGGGACCACGCGGTTCGTCCAAAGTATGTGGAATTTAGACCCAGACCTTGGCCTGACGAGAGAGGTTGGAGCTTTACGGGATCTCTTCCGTCCTGTAAAACTTCGATGGCTCATCAAATAGCAGATTTGATCTGACGGTTTGCAGAGAAGGGGAGAAACAATTATGGTTAGATACAAATCAAGAAAAATTAAATAGAAAAAAAAAAACATAGGAACGAAATTGAAAAACTGCATGTCCTGTCACTGTTATACTCCCGTACCACACTTCCGCAGACAAGCGCCGATATCCAAGAGTGTTGTTTGCAACTAGATCTGAAAACCCCTTCAGGGCAAGGAGGCGCCTACTGAAGACTTGTCATCTCACTGCTCGTCAATAACACAGCAGGTGTCACGTCGACAAGGTCCACGAAGTCGATTAACCTAGCCCTGTTACGCAGGCCTATGGAGACTAAGTCAGGAGACGGTTGGATGCATGGTTACTGCATGATGAGCAAGGCCGTAGCCATGCGTACACTGGCTTGGAGTGACTGGTATGTAATCCATGTGCTCCGTTTCACTCTAGGAAAGCAACGAAAGTCCACGCACGCAAACAGCTCGTCTACAAGACCGGGGTGAGAGCAGAGGAAGGCCAGGGTGATCATCCCCGGAGGCGATCTGGAGCTGGAAGTTTAGGACTAGCCAATCTCGATTTCAATCTATAGATGATGTCGAAAACCAGGCAGACCTCATCTGGACTGAGACCAACATCTATCATCTATTCCGGATTTGGCTGAGACCCAGAACACTGGCCACCAGGTGTGCGCGTAGCTTATCCCCCTCGCCCTCCCCCCACTTCTTCTCGCCATAAGATCATTACTGACTCGGGTCAACCCAGGGACGTTAGTGAGGACTAGGTCTTGCCGTTGAGCATAAATTTCCTGGCCGACAGCCCTTGTCACCAGCGAAGCAAAACTGGCGACAGAAAGGTGCAGATGTGAGATGGCACCAAAATCACGTAGCAAACTACGTCTAGCCAGTTCACTCCTTGGCGTGGAGAGGCAACATTGCCTAGGAGGCATTAACGCTGTGTCATTTCCACCGGGATCTCTCACAACGCTTGCTCAGGCCGAGCGACCTGTCACCTGCGTGGAATATAGGAAACCAGCAGGTAACGAGCAGTCGATCACTAGGATGGGGGTTACGAGAGGCTCACCTGAGCAAACAGAAGGAGGTGGCTTTGGGCCAACGGCTCTCGTCCTACTAGAGGCCCAAACATCGGGTGGGACGATGTTATGTCTTGACTTACCTCACCGTAAAGTGAGAGAGCTCGGTGGTACTTGATGCTAAGACATATCTCAGGGTGAGGGGGTTGATGTGTCGCAGTTCCTCATCACTTATCGCATAAAGATTTGTGTACAACGTCTGAGGGCTAATGGGATGGGCGTCGTCGAGGAGGCCCCAATCGGAATGCTCCGGCCATACCAAGCCCCAGACACTCTCATGCGTATCTCCCCTAGGTGCATCCAGTAGCCCAAACGTGATGAAGACAGCCATCGTGCTCTCGACCAGAGGTGACGGAAGGGCCCTCTTTCTTCCGCGGACCCTAAACTCAGCCTACATGAGCCACGGCCACTTTGAGCAGCTCTTATTGGAGAGGCGTGGAGGTCATCAATCCTCCCCCTCCTTCATCATATAGACGCTATACACGGTGTATGCGGCAAGAGGCACAGCGACAAACGGCGCTGGTCCGCGCCCGAATGGTTAAGTTACTCGGGTATCCTCGTTTGTACTCGTCTGCAGCTGGAGTTGAGATAGACACCGAGGCTTACATGGCCCATCCAGCCATGCCTCAGACCATGCAAACGACGAGATATCGCTCCAGAATGGTAATCGAAGCCATCTTTAACCAGCAGCACTCTTAATGGAAAGTTTCTTGTAAACTTCGATGATATACCTACCGTTTTACTTTAAGTACACGAGATACCTAATTAAGCCATACGACCGTAAGGAAGGATACCCAGATCGAAGACGGTCGGAAGCAGAAAAGTCCTACCATGGTTATTTCCGCAGCTAGTCCCTGTTATTGCATGATTTCTCAGCCACGGCTGATAGGGGAGGGGATCGTCAATTTCCGTGTCTAGTATCTAGTTGGTGGCTCCTTTTTCCATTTTCCCCTCCTTGCTGTTCCCCTTGTGTAGTGAAGGCGATTCAAGTTGGTGATTGGATATGTACGTTTGGAATGATTGTTATGTTGGTGAGCGAAATGCCCTACAAAGCCAGCCCCTATTATTTCAGTTTGCAAACCACGACATGCAGACAGCAATGTCTTGCAGAGATATATGGGTGTTTAGCACACCGGTAAGACCAGGGAATAAGTTATTGGTTGCTGACTGCACGCAGCTGCGACATACACGGATTGAAGATTCCCAAGGCCTGCCCCTGACTGATGAATATCTGGCAGAGCTGTCGCACAGTGATATATGAGTTTCCATTTTACACACTCATGAGTTGCAGTGCGCCCTCTCTCAAGCATAAATGGAGAGCCCAAGAAAATGCTTACAACCTCCTAGAGTTTAAGCACCAAGTACCGCCGACGACATAGGTCGTGATGAGGATCATCATACGCGTCATACAATGTAGACCCGAGGTACCTAATTAGGTTACACTGATCGACCGCCGCTTTGTCACAGAAGCTCTGGTGTCTTCATGGAGTCTGAAGACTTGTGATGGGGAACAAAGCCATTGCCCAAAGAGGGTAGCCTATAGGTCCGAGTAAACTTGGGCCTTATTGCTTTGGTCCATCCTCCAGGACATGCTATTTCGATTCTGATAGCTATCCGAGCCTGGGTTCGTATAGACAGGACAGAGGTGGCAGGCCAAACCACAGCATTGCCATCCCGTACCTACAGCTTCCGAATGCAGCAGACGTATAACCATGAAGAGTCCACCTGTCACCAGCTAGACACACGGCCACCCCTCTTTCTTCCTCGCGGGAGGGAAACGACGTAGACGCCGGGGCAAATCAACGGAACTTTTCCCTCCAGCGTCGCGGCAGGCTGCATGCCCTGCCATCAGTCATCTATAGGGGGGAAGAAAAGGTTGGAGGCCAAGATGGATGACTGCGGGTGGCCGCAATTGTACCACCAGCCGCTACACCATTGGCTGAAACTAGTCCGTCAGTATGCGAGACATTTTGGGGGTCCAAATTAGCATGGAGCACATTAACGGGAGGGAGCCCAGAAAAGATTCTGCAGCGATGGCCGGGGCGTGTTGGCAAGATTGCGGGACACCTACTTAATAAGCAGGACGGCAACCTGTACCTGGCTGAAGCATCGTACCGACGATGTCTTGGAGCGCTAATAGGGCTAAGCTCGTTCTGGGGATCAGGCCAGGGGTGGTCGAAGTGAACTCGATCGATCTGCGTAGGGGTTGTTGCTTAATCTGACCCGTACCTAATATCTGCTCCGTTGATCACGTTGTCGTTGCTGTCATCACTCTTGCCGTCTTCTCTGCCGCCACCCCTGTGCTTAGGACACCATGCCTTCGCTCGCTCTTGACGTCTCCCTCGGCCGAGAAGACTTTTACGAGCTAACGCCAAGGATGGCTTGTCATCACAGTAGCACACCGCCAAGGTCGAGGTCAGCCGCGGGTGCTGGGTGAAGTGTCAGTGTTGCACAAGTCCGCTCTAGAACCGAATACTCGCTAGAGCACACACCTACACGAATCGACGGACTGCTTAGTGAGCTGTTATTGTGGCCTAGCTCCCACCTAGTACAACCCTCGAGATTCTTCCCCTCGGGCCAGTTCATTTCCTCCATAGGCCGTAGTCGGAGTTCCGACCGAAATTGAATAAATAGCCTTAAATTGACGAGGCGGGAAGGCACATCAGGCCGAAAAGCCGGATGGCTTCTGGTTGGCTTTTCGTAATAAGCCTCTTGGTTGCAAGGAGGGCCCCTACGAAGGCAGCCACCGAGTAGGCCCTAGGCCGGACAGGAGAGAGGAAGCTATAGTCGAAGTCCAGTACAATGACGAATCCCTCGGTCCGATCTAGGGAGATATGACCGTATAGATCGCCCAGTGAGGGCTTCGTCACACAGACGGGGGACCTTGCAGCTAACGTTCTAACAGGCGACCCGGCATCGAGCAGGAGAAAATGTGGATTGCGGTCCCGTACGAGAACGCCTGCTAGATAAAGGGTAGCATCGATCGGTCGATGGCGTTTTGAGCCACGTCGTTGAAAAGCCTTCAAGCCCTTTCGGTTCGGATCAGAGTGCTAAGGGCACCCGGTACTACGAGTGACAAGAATTCGATTTGTGAACTTCGCGCCCTTGTAGACACGCAACCCCTGCCCCCCCCCGGCTTCCCAATCCAAGCAGCCACATACAGGGAGAATGAGCGTTCGGGAAAAGCATCCTATTGGAGGTGCGTGTATTCGATACCTTTCTTATTCGCCGACATTCTTTCCCGTCGAGTGCAAGTTTCCATGGTATGTGGCTATGCAGAGCTCCGCTAGCTCCGACGTCCCTTAATATGATCATAGGTGGAGGGCGGTAGGGAGAGAGGGTAGATGCCTACGTGTATATATCGTAAATGGTCGCGGCTAAGACCACCTGAACGTTACTCGGGTGACTACCTCCTTCCTCGTCTCCTCTCCTCGCCCGTTTGTATAGGTAGATCTGAAAACGACGTGTATAAAACGACATATCAACGATTTATATGACCCTCTAAGAGATGGGGTATGGCTAAGAGCGCGTTTATACGTCGACAAAGCCTACACGGTAGCGAGCAGCGGCTAGCCTTGAGCTCTCTACATCATCAACACCCTAATATTATCCCACTCGAGATGCACTTCCAGGATAGTCAAAGCGCAAATTTTCGAAAGAAGTGGAGGGCCGGTTGCCCGAAGTATACGTCTATCTAGTCCCGCATTCATCCAGTCCTACAGAAGGCATACTTGTAGAGAATGCTATTCCCGACGCGTTCCAGATCGCCTCGGCACGGGTTAGGTGACGGTAGACACCCGTTGTTGAGTAGCCCGGAGCACTTAATAGACAGTAAGTAATAGAGAGCAAGCAGACCGCCAGAGACACCGGCGCTTCTGTGAGCTTCTATGAGCCGCATCTAATCACAATTTGACACTGAAATACCTGGTTAGCCGGGCAATATAGCCCCAATTTCTCGCCAGTGGCAGCGAGTGATGCCCTTCCCTAGTTGTAATAGGCACCAGTTGCCCAGCGCTTCCTTGGTGATAACTCATCGCTTTAATCCCACCAAGGTTCTCCCGGCGTTAGTAGCATTACAAAGAATCCTTTCGAGCGGGGGACCCTCGGGCGACGGCGGTATCAGGTGTCACGAGGGTGTCTTGAGACACACCAGACGTTGAGTAACCCAGCCTAGCAGCCAAGTCTTCCACAGTCATGATTGACAGTAAATCATGTGGAATGCCAACTCGTCTGAGAGGTGGAGGCGATTTTGTAGTGCAAACGACGGCCCGTAGCAATACTCGAAGACGACGTAGATGAAAGATAGGTAGATGCTGTAAAAGTATTCCCAGATGCGTTATAGCGATTGTAGAGCTCGTCGTCCAACACGGCTATGCCACGTTTCCCACCGAATTCGTGGTTGCTTGCTCAAATCATTCTCCTGCTGATGATGGTCGCATTCGTTTGACTCGATGGGCCTTCGCTCTATTATCACTTTTCATTGTGGTTTAGGGTAACGTCCCGAACTGCCCCAAGAGCATTATCGTCATCGTTTACACCATGGAACAAGAAGCTGCCCACCCCCTCCAACTGCTATTATAGCAGACAAAGCCCCAAATATTTCGGAAAGAAGCATAGTCTCCCGATCTTTCGCCTAGGTTACTACCGTACGGTCATTCCGATTTAGTGGCCATACGCAGAGACGATACTTGTGCCCGGTAATTAGGCCGCTACCGATGCCGGAAACACATATTAGCTCTTAGTCGAAATTGACGACTATGGGTTCCATGAGACAGCTTGGCCTAGGAGTTACCATGTGACGCGATGACGGCCGCAGACATGGCGCAGCTTGCCGTTGTTGTGGCCACGAGTCGTCGCGGCCGCGGAAGAGCTTTAGCAGTAAAGAAACCCGACGAACTTCTAGCAGTCTGAAAATGCCAGATACGGCCAACGACTAACTGGTGGCCATGTTAATCGCACAGGCGCTCAGGTGCTTAGACATCCCTACATGGAGATATTTCCGGTATTTCGGGTGTCGGCGTGCCCGAGAAGACCAATACTATACGATTTGGTAACGGCATTCATAACGATAGATCACCTCAAGTACCGCCTCTCAAGGCATTACTTGAAAGAAGCAGTCAACTTCATCTTTGAATCCAAGTCAGACCCCGTCGCCTCGGCAGATGAATAGCGACGGAGACTGGGCGCTGGGTGTCCATCGGTATACATAGATAAGCAGCTCAACAAGCCTGGGAAGATTCCCATCACGTTTAAGGTAAGCTGCCGTTCAGTTGCTAGATTTGTACCGGTTTGCTCTCCAAGCCCAACTCCGTAGGCCTGGAGATTGTGCGCTTGAAAAATTGAGCCACCAAGAGCTATATCGTCTCAGATACGACAAGTCGGAGAGCCGCAATCGAGACGTCCAAAAATAAGAAGCGGATGCCTACGTATTCCTATGGATGCGCGACGACTAGATTCCGTCCATCGAATACAGGCTATCTCCGTCGATAATCGCCGTGAGCTCCCCGGTTTCTATCGTTGTCCCGATCCTGAGGATTCCGATGTCGATTGTCGTACCGTGGCCTAGTACGATCTTCTCTTTGGTCGTTGTCATCCCGGGCTCGGATATGATGCTTCTCTCTCCTAGGACTTCGACTTCGCCTCTGTGACTCCTGATTCCTCTCGCGCCCATTACCACCATTCCAAGGCCGTTCTCGATTCCTGCCATCGCGTCCGTGGTCCGCGAAGCGATCTGCATCATTTGCCCCCCTACCCTCTTCATCTCCGCCGTCCCTTTGTCGCTCATGCCGGCCACGCATCTCTTCCTCGCCGTAGACCATACTGTAACGGCCACGGTCATCATCACGCCCGTCTTCTTCTCTGTACTTCCTCCACTTTTCCAAGCCTTTCACGCCACCCCATCCACCACCATCTCGTCCCCGTTTTCGCTTTGCATTCTCGCCGCCCCTCCAAACTTCAGCTAACTTACTCACGCTCTGACTGAAGTCTACGTGTATTCTCCGGTCATCAATGAGCACGCCTTGCATTTTGAAATAAGCTGCTTCGCAAGCACTCTTTTCCTCAAACTCGATGAATGCATACTGTAAACTATCACCAGTCTTCTTATCGCGAATCACTTCGCAGGAGAGGATGATGCCGAAACGGCTGAAGATGAGCTCGAGGTCCGAGTCCGTAGTGACGGGATTAAGTTTGCAAACGAAAAGCACGTTCTCAGGAGGCTTGACCTCGGCAAAAGGAAGGTCGCCCATCATCTCCAGGGTCAAAGCCTGGGCGCGGGCTTCCCTCTCGCGTCGCGCCTTTTCCGCAGCGTCCTCGTCCACTTCTTCGGTTAGCGTAGCGTCGTCGGCGATTCGGACTGTAGCAAGCTGGGCCTTGGACGGCGCAGGTGACTGGCTCGGCTCTCGTAACCCCGGCGGATCGGCGTACGGGTCGTCGAGAATAATGGTGTGTTTTATCCGGATATCAACGAGGGGATGACCGTCATGGTCGGTGATTGCATTGTTGATCTTCTCTAAAGCATCGAATCCTTCGACCACTTTACCAAATATCGCCGCCTTCCCATCTAGATAATCCGTACTGTCGCCAAGAGTAACAATGAACTGGCTGCCGGCAACACGAACATCTGGGTCGGAAGGGTGTGGCACGGTAGCCATGGAGACGGTTCCTCTTTCGAGGTGCTTCAACTTGGGATTAAAGGTCGCGGGGAAAGTCTTCTCGGAGGGCCCGGAGACAAGGCCCCATATCGAAGAGCCACCATCGGAGGAAGGGGACGTGGGCCCGAGGGGATCGCCGGTTTGGAAGGAGAAATTCTGTTGAATAGAGTGGACGGGTGAGAAGTTGTAATATTTCACCTTGCAGAGCTTGAGAAAGCTACGATGACACGGGAGGTCAGCCTATGATTAATCCCATCCTCGGAGGAGTTGATTCGGACATGGGGTTGTGCAGTGGGCTGGAACGGAAGGAATGAAACCTACTTCTCACATTCTTTGGGCGCGTAGTCTGTCAAGAGGTCTATCACCACGTCGCCCGCGCTCGTCTCAAGCAGTACTGACATGCTTATGTGGAACCACGAAAAGAACCACGGTTTGCCAAACACATCAGCATCTATCGTCCAAGTCGAGAACGTGGGTAGGAAGTAGTGATAGCGTGCGTAGCAACGAAAAACCTGATTACGAGGGCGAGTCTGTCGTGGACTGAAAACAGGCGAGGTAATGAAGGTAGACAACTCAGTTTGATGGATGGAAACGATACGACATTACATAAGCTGAGCGATCCATACGGTTTTCGCGCATTAGGTACCCAGGTACCTAAGGTGCCACCGGTACTTTGGCTGATGCCTCCACCATTCAGTTCGATCCCCTTCACGCTGCCCGCAAGTAAATATACGCTATAATAACACGCCCAGGCTCGGGACGCTGAACGCGATATGCTCATATGACCGGATGAAAATCCACCCCTCGATGAATAGCACATGAATTCAATCGCCATTCCAAGGGCAGAGCAAAAGCGGCTTAGCATGCCCACGGACAGTACCACCTGAGTCGCCGTAACGCCGTCAAATCAAATAGGTATCAAGTTCCGATGCCGCTCCCGACCTTCACCCATCAAAATGCCCAGTCCCCTTTTTCATCCAGCCGATTTTGTTCCCACCCTACGAACCGAACCGGGGGCAAATATTGCCCCTTGCATTCTCTTCCCCTCAGGCTGTTTAGTCGAGCGCTCCGTGACTCCGCCGCCTTCGCCCGTTCCGCAACTCTCTCTCCGTGTCCATTAGGCGTGTCTGTACCCAAGTCCGCATGACTTGGTCTCTTCGCACCGTCTCGCAGTTCAACAACTCCGTCAATGCCCGTTTGATGCCCTCGTTCACGTTAAAAAGCTTCTGTTCGCCCGCTTCCATCTCTTCGACCAGCGACTCGTCCAACACTGGCTCCAGCTGGGTCTGCGAGTATCGATGGCCCGAGGGCCTAACTGGCAACGATGATCTCCTATGGTTCCGTTGCAGGGACGGCGAAAGCTTCAGAGACGAGCTGCTGGAAGAGCGAGTGGGCGAAACCGAAGGAGACGTGACCGCGGTAGACGATGTGGTGTACGAAGTGCAAAGGTCGCTCATGTGCTGTCTAAGCTCTTCGTATTGGTTGTGTAGCAGGATGTATTTTTGCATCGCAAAGCCGATGTTATGGCCACCGGCCAAGGCGGGGCCCGTCCCCGTCACCTCATCCATCTGATGCATCTTGAAACTGTGCTATGAAGAAATGATATTGGGGTGTTTCTCACGGTAGCCCGCATTGAGCTAGCGATCTAGAGATGAGGGAGGACCGAAAGCCGCGCGCAGTCGGGCTTGCCAACCAATCAGCTTTGGCGGTAAGCGCAAACGGTGGTGTGGAAGCGAGCGAGCGGCGGATGGAGAAGATGGAAGAAGGTAGGTAGTACCTTAGGTAGGTAGCAGAAGTGAAGTCTGTCGATCTGACGATCGCAATTGCAGTTTCGTCGCCTTTTCCGGACAAGATAATCGTAAGTTATTTAGGTTGAGCGGGGGAAAGCGGTGATGGAATTTTTTGGATACAGCGCTGTCAATCCAAACAGGGTAAGAGATGGTTAAGCCGGTAAGGATATATCGAGCTTATAGACCAAGACACTGGATGTCGGACAACAGGTTCGTTTAGAAGCTATCCTAGGTCAAGCAAACAGGTGGAAGGACCGAGGGAGTTATACCGAAGCAGTTCACGGCGTGCGTCAACCCAAGATAGGCAGAGTACGAACTCAAAAGCTCCGTGTAGCTTGGCCTAGAGCGGAAGAGACGGCGACGGACGAAATGATGATGGGATGTGAACAAGACGTTAGTTGGCGCTGCTATGAATATAGCTGGCGAATTGGGCTTGCCGATCTGGTCACCGATTTGTATGAGGAAAGCAGTCAACCAAACGAGCCCGTCAGATGTGAAGACCTGCCCCTATTCCACACTGTGATAATGCGGTTATCCAGTTGTGGTGGCGGGACCCGAGCAAGGTGGTCGTGTCGCTGGTGGGTTTATGGAGACGTGGAGGCGAGACGTTGCTGACAAAAGAAGGTCGGGGTCGCGCGTAGGTATGTAGATTTTAGGCTCAGGGCCACTCGAGCCCAACAGGGAGATCGTGGGAAGGAGGAAGACGAGAAGGAGGCAAAGGGGGAATTTAGGTGATGGAACGGAGACGGGGAAACAGACACCACCTACATACGCAGCGTCAAGTGGTCAAGGTAGGGGGTAAGATAAAGCAACTTTGAGTAGATTGGAGCTGTCTAATTTGGCGATAATAATGAGATGAGCGGGGTGGGGAGGTAGAGCGGAGAGTAGCTGATGAAAATAGACTGGACCTAGCCGCGGACGCTTGGGTGTATGCGGGTTAGGTAGGTTCAAGGGTCGTTGCTTGATCTTATTGCAAATTGCAGGGCTCTGGCAACGTGCTGCTCCGGTAACTACCTACTGGAGCCAACAGAGTCGAGGCCGGACAGGGGGTTTTAGGTGATTTCCGAGGAAGACTTGACAACGACGCTGGTATTTTGATGCTTGATGATAAGATTACCGAGTTCAAGACGATGGTTAATACCAATGATTTGGATACTGCCAATGCCTCTTCTGGAATGTCGAGAAACGGGGAGGGTTCGTGTCATATTAGCGCCTCTGGGGTAGCCCGCGGAGAAGCCTTGAAAGATATACTCTACACCACACACGAAAGACGTGGTGCATGAGGCTACTTGCTGAAGACTAGCTACAAATCACTACACCAAGGCTAGCGCGAACAAGCACCAAACGGGTGATAGTGGCGCGTTTCGTGCGATAGCTACGGTTGGAGCGGAGGTCTTGCTCTATGAAGTGGCTAACCCAATCAGATACGGGAACTTCGGAGGGAGGCAGATATAGGTACTTAGGTATGTGTGATTGGGCGGGCGAGTGGATGGACGAATATGGTACGTAGCATCGATGGCCATATGAGTATATTGCCTACACAAAACAGCCAAGGTCAGGTTGTATGAGTATGACGAGGTTATCCGGGATGGTTGATAGCCTCGCGATAGGTCGAAACTTTTTCAGACCACCCTCCTCAAGACCCTAACTGTTGGTCAATGTATATACTACCAGATAGATACGTGCCTTGATACGGATTCCAGTAGCACCCCGGGAAGTACCAGGTAGGTAGGTGTCGGCTCATTCCTACTCATAGTGATTCCAACGTAAAGGGGGGCAGTGGGTGACGATGATGAGGAGCCAAAAGGAGTGACGTCGATTGAGAATCCAGAGGCAGGTACCTGTTTATGAATAGGTACCTAGCCTACGTACCTAGGGTACGCAAAAGGTAGGTACACACTAACCGTCCCGTCCTGGATACCCACCTAGGTAGATACCCAAGGTATACCTACCTTTAGGTTAATATACTCATATAGACACTTACCTAGGTAGGTACCTAGATAGGTAGGTTAGGTACTTAATTTGCCTCGCTCGGATTCCACCAGTTTCGTCTCTTTACCAACATATAACGGGGTGGACTACTACCTAATGTAACCGATCTCGTGTGCACGTTGACGAGCACTTATATTATATATATACACATTACCTATAATATCTTGGTTGCCACTAGTTGAAGCTCCTACCTACCTACATTTACCAATGCTAGACAGTTGGTACCTCCTGGTAGGTTGAGGTTAGGCGGGCAGTGGGAAGAAGAATCAAACCCTCCCTCAGCATCTACCTAATGTCAGGGTGGATAGAATTACCCCCCCTCCGGGTCCCATTCACCCCGTAGCTTCGAATGGTCCAATCCTCAGTTCGACTTCAGAAAGAAGGGTCCAGAACGATGCCACACTCCTACGCTAAACGGCGACGTGGTCTCGCCGGCACAGTCAAGGCTAGCCGAGCCGACCAGACATACCTAACCAACGTCCATGAGGATGCAGTCGGTAGCTATGCTATTCATCAAACCAAGTTGGGGATCGTCTGAGGGCCCGCAAAATCCTAATGTGCATGCATGCTACGCAGTAGATGACCTACCAGAACGGCCGATATGTTTTTTTTTTTTTTTTGCCCAAAGCGGTAGCAATGTTAGGTTGGGTGCCGGTTTCTTCCTTGGCCTAGACTATGTTAATATATGGGCGTGATATTTCGAGCATAGGCACGCACAAGGAATCGGTGCTTCCCCTCCCCCGTATAAAAAAGCCCATCCGGTGCCGAAAGAGCCGGTGTTACCCGGTTTGAGAAATGCCCAGCTGGACGCAAATCTCAGCTGGCAGCAGTACCACGACCCAATTTGAAGGCAGGCAGGCAGGCAGGCAGGCAAGTAGCATGTATACAGACACATCTCTCGGGATGGACAAGCGTTTGTTTGTATCCATCATGCCATCGGTAATTCAGGTTTCTACCATCCCTCTGATGATGGTAGATGTGGCCACTATTACCGAACGGTCATGCAAACGAAACAGACCTCATTCTTCGAGACCAAGTTTCAGCTCGGAATTGAGGCCCTACCCCATATCGTCTCGTTCCGCTACCTCGCACTGTTTACAGGGGTTCCTCGTGAAATTACTCTAGCCATATTCCCTCCTGCCCCGATCTCCGTCAGGGCCAACACTTCATCTCAATTGCTCGTCATTGCAAGTTCTGTCTTCGCACAGCGGACAAGAAGCTCCGCGAAGGCGATGTAGTGTTCGTGTGTGATCCGAAGACGAGACATAACATGCCCGTATCAGGGCCCATACCTTGCCGACGGTAGAATATTTTCCCCAATTCTCCTGGTAGCGGTGTGTCGACCCGTAGGTATCGATTGCATGCAACCTCTTGAGGTGAACGTCGTGAGCGGCAGCCTCCTTCTTCCTCTCCAGGTAGGTACGAGGACGGGATCGGCCTGCAAGTCATATTACGTTCTACGTACGTCACGCAATAGAATAGACAGCGGTCAAATTACGGGATCGATATTCGACCCACCGCTAGGCCAACTCATCTACGCAGCATGCTGTGAGAGAAACTGGTCACCCAACTTAACTCATCGTACAAACGGCATGCCATATTAAACGATTGTAGATGGTCAGGTATGGAAGTAGTGCGTTCGACAGTTTCCGTTATTCATCGCTCTTCGCGAGCGCACCAGGTCCCTAAAGGCATGTTCCGCGTCTAGGGTGCTATTAGTACGTGACATACATGACTGCGGATGCCTTCGTCAGAATATCTGCCATTGCCGGGAGCATTCCCTATCACCTGCCCGTTAAACCTGTTATCTACCCCGCCAATGGTAAGGCGCGTCGCGGGGTACATGGAGTTGGCCACCAGACGATTCAGACAATTCGCCACAGGCAGAAGAGGCAGCGCCCGTGACGTACGTACCTAGGTATAATAGACGGGTCGAGCATTATACAATGTCTGATAGCATCTAGCTCGCAGAGTGACTACTCGCAATACAACGACTGTTCGGTCGTGGCGTTTTCGACTGATGGTCCTTTCCATGATGAGCCTAACGGGATGAATACTAGCATAAACAGGTGGCGCGCCTCTCGTATGCATACGTATGTAGCAGACATGAAAAGAGAGAGGGGGGGGAGGGGGGCGAACTCCGGTCTCGCCAGCGCCGACAGCGCCGACAGTCGATGGCGCAAGAAACGTTTGTACTTTGTTTCAACAGGAGCTTCCCGGATAACTACCCCGCAGTAAGACATCTCGATCTACAACTTGGGTATTCTTTCCTGTTCATCGTAGAAACATGTGAAGGGCGTTAAGATCGTGATATTAAACACGCGACGTTCGGGATACTACATTGTTACGAGATGGCTACTACTAGTCACCTTCCGTCTAAAATTCTCATATTTGGGGCGACAGGAGCTATTGGCAAGTATATTACCGATGCCATCCTCTCAGCCGAGGCCCTTGCCACCCAACAAATATCCATATTCACATCAGCCGTTACGGTCTCGAACCCTGGCAAGCAGGCCCTGTTATCCTCGTGGGAGTCCCAGGGGCTGTCGGTTATCACGGGCAACCTTAACGACGCGGGGGATATCGAAAAGGCTTACGATGGTATCGACACGGTCATCTCATGCCTGGGGCGAGATGTACTGGCGAGTCAGATCGAATTGCTCACGCTTGCAGAGAAGAGCAAGGACGTGCAATGGTTCTTCCTTAGCGAATATGGCACGGACATTGAATACGACGAGTCGAGCAAAACCGAAAAGCCGCACCAGAACAAGCTCAGGGTCCGAGAATTCATCCGTGCCAATATACACAGAGTCGAATGCACCTACCTCGTGACCGGACCGTACATTGATATGTTCTTAACGCTGCTGCCTGGAAGCGAGGAGGCCGGCGGTTTCGACGTCGAGTCGAAGAGGGCCGTCGTTATAGAAAGCGGAGACGACAAGGTCGGATTCACGACTATGCTCGAGTAAGTCACCGCCGCATCCAGCAGCGTTCGATATCTCGAATATTAACGTCAAGGAGTGTTGGCAAGCTAGTGGTTGCGGCTCTTAGACACCCCTCGGCATCGAAAGGCAAGATCCTCAAGGTCCAATCATTTGTTACAACACCCAACGCCATCTTGCGAGAGTTCGAGAAGCAGACCGGGGTGAAGTGGAAGGTTGATCACACAACAAATCAGAGGCTCCGTGAGCTCGAGTTGGAAAACTGGGATACCGATAGCCCGACAGCAACGCGCATCACGTTGCGACGTATCTGGGCTGAGGGCGGAACGTTATACGAGAAGACAGATAATGAGATACTAGGCGTTGTGTCGAGCGATATGGAATCGCTAGCCGCTGTTGTAAAGCGAGCCGTGGAGGGTCGAGGATATCAGGGTAAACAACCTTCCCTGTATTACAAACAGGAGACGGGCACCCAAGGTACATAGAAGGCAACCAGAATCCAGCGGTTGTGGTCAGTTGTCGCTAGATGGTACCTAGGTACATCCGATGTCGATCCGGAACCGGTAAAACCACGGGGTTTCTCCCGATATAGGCACAGGGCGCTGATAAGGATAAGATACAGCGACAGCTTAACTGGGGCAAAAAAAATTACCCAAGGCCCAGCAGGCTCAATCAAGTAGGTTGTTCGTGCACACATCTTCCATGAGCGCAATTATCTATACTGCCTTCTTCCCTTCCCTCCCCGTGCGGTAGGCCGGAGGGCTTTGTTATACAATGGAGGACAATCCAGTGCCGACGCCGACGTCCCATTCCGACAACAAGGCCAAACTCCATAAGAAATCCAAGCGGCGTCGCGAAATAGACGTCACTGAGGGCGCCGAGCGAAGACACAAGAAACGGAAACGCAGCGAAGATGTGCCGCCTACTGGCAATGGAGCACCCGATGAGGCACAGGTCGAACCATCAGAAGCACCTACTATCCCCAAACTCGAAGTTGAGACAGAGGATCATGTAAGCAAAGCAGAGAAGAAGAGACGGAAAGCTAAGCAAGACCGGGTTGCGCAAACCATCGGCGCCGCAGATGACCTTGCCGAATCAAAGAAGAAGAGCAAGAAGAAGGAAAATAAGAAGAAAGAGAGAGACAAGGAGGGGGCCGGCGAGAATGGCCTTGGGAAACCGGACGCGGAGATAAACGCCGAGTTGTATACGGGGGAAGGCGAACAGCAGGGCGTCATACTGAACAGTGACACATTGAAGGACGCCAACAAACCAAAGAAACGCAGGAAGAAAGCTAGCAGTAGCCGGAAGATTGCCGGGTCGCCTGGCCAGGAGGCACCGGCTCCGGATTCCGAGCCTATGGGCATTCGTTCCTCGCCGGCTAAGGGTTCCGGTCTCGGAGGGCTCGGGCAGAAACCCGACGGTGATATCTACCCGTTCTTCGCTCAGACTGTTTCTCAATACCTCCCCTTATTTCCGTCCGGCCTCATCGAGCTAGTAGAAGGCTTCGCCGACCAGCACTTACGACCTCTTCTCAATCGTTATGTACCGGAATTTCACGGTGTTCTCTTAGCATACCGGAACCCTCGGGTCGGAGAGGCGCCAGCCAGAGCATCGCTAACCCCCGAAAGCGCGATGGAAGACGTCGTACTGTTGGAATCCATCAACGAATACGCTGTAGGGTTCGGGTGGTTGACTGCCGACGTAGAATTATTCCGTCCGGCGCGAGGCGCGTGGATGGAGGGCATAGTGAACCTACAGGGAGAAGGTCACATCGGGGTTGTTTGCTGGGATATGTTCAACGCCTCGATCGAAGCCGGAAGGCTCCCCCATGGTTGGCGCTGGATCGACCTCCTGTCGGAAAGCAGAGGCGAGAGCAATAGGAAGGGTGCCGGGCAAACCGGGGGGCGGGCGGACGAAGAGACTGGAGAACAAACCCTTGAACCCTTGGAAGCCCCCGACGACGATACAGCTCAGATACTCACTACGGGTTACTGGTTGGACGAGACTGGGACCAGAATCCGCGGGGGGGCAAAGCTATACTTTCGGATCAAGCATTACGAGATCGGAATAAGCGGCGACTATGGATACCTAAGCATCGAGGGCACAATGCTGAGTGAGGAAGATGAGAAGGCCAAGTCTGTGGAGGAGATGGAGGTGCTGAGAAGACGCAGGTTAAAGAATGGAGGCCTTCTACGAAAAGAGCTAAAACGCTTGCCTGAGTCTAGTGTGACTAAGCTCGGTGCGGACGAAATCGAAGACAGCGAGGCTCGGCATGCCCCGGTACGGGTGCCGAGTCGTCCCAGAAGCAACGCGGAGTAGGTGGATCCCCCCGCTTCTTTATGTAGTCTGTACATGTCCACCTACCATCAGCGGATAATCACCGGGTATGGTGGACGCTGGCGTTATCGCGCCTTCGCCTCAGCATTGAAACATTAAAATGATTACTACTACTGGCCCGGCTGTCGCGACATTTGCCAAGGCCACGCCGGCGTGATTGGTGTGCGCTTCATATCCAATTGGTGAACATGTACTTCGTGGCCAGGCCGACGTTGAATCAGGGTCGCTGGTAACAACACATCTAAATTTATGTGACCTGCGCTTCTGGTAGCGTGCGCTGATGTACCTGCCTAATTACCAACGCGCATGTCGTTGTGATGGGTCGGAGGCTCGGGAACTATGGGGAAACGTCCACGGTGTTACCTGCCTACCCCCAACACCTAGGTACCTACCTCCCTAGGTAGGTACCTAGGTAGGCTAAGATAACGCTATCGGCTGACTGACAGCTGTTCCTCTTTTTCGTCCACTTTGCAGGGAGGTTAGGTAGGTACCTAATTGGCACCTTAACTGTACCTCTAAGTTATGGATTTAGGTAGTTAGAGGTACCTGGCGGTTAAGCTCTGATAAGTGGCACCTTAGGCAGGTAGTACCTGTAGCTACCAAGTGATCTTCAATGGTGTAGGTATATGGTACTACCTGCATGCACCGACCTGAGGCCCCTAGGTTGGCAGGTGGGTCGGTTACCTTGGGTACCTGTGGAGGCTCAGAGCTCACCCGCAGTTGTCGTCGGCTTCTCGTATTCCTACGTCGCGTTCTTCGTGCGTTTAGGGCCCTACACCTCTAGCTCTCTTCCTGCCCTTCTCTCTCTCACTCCCTCTCGCGTCTCTTAATAGTCATATCTGTACAGGCAATTTTCCGTCTTTCCCTCAAAAATTTAATCGGCCTTCGTCTACCTGCCCGCCTCTTCCATCTCCTCCCAGCCATCCGACACACCATTTAGAGATGCCGTCCCATGGGCTACGGCAGTGTATCGGCGATGTCTCGCCGTATCTTATCCTTTTGGTCATCATCAGCACTCTAGGACCGTTGCAGTTCGGGCTTCATCTTGTGAGTCTATACGTTTCCTAGCAACGCCTTTCCCGCCCCTTATTTTACACATACACGGAATCCGAGTATGTGTCCTGGCGCTGATCTGATGGCCGCCTGACCCTCTACACCTCTAGGCCGAGCTCAACGCGCCACAAGATGTCATCAGCTGTCGAGTTAAGCCGGCCGTCTCCTCCAGACTGTCCTCAGTCCTATCTTTCGTATCTTCCCAGGACAAGGTCGCTGCTTCTACGTTGCCCGACTGCATACCGATGGACGATGCCCAATTCGCCGCCGTATCGAGCATGTTCACCCTTGGCGGGTTGGTCGGGGCGTTGGGGAGCGGTCCCTTATCTTCGGCGAAAGGCCGCCTACCGGTTATGCGGTTGACCAGCTTGTTCTACGCAACAGGCTCCGTGATAGAGACCCTTGGTGCTTCCGTCGTCATGATGGCCATCGGACGAGTTATCTCCGGCGTCGGCGCTGGCGCCGCGACTGTTATCGTGCCTATCTATATCAGCGAGGTGGCCCCGCCTCGGGAGCGCGGGACCTTCGGAGCCATGACCCAAGTCAGCATCAACGTCGGTATCTTGGTCACGCAGACCATGGGCTACTTCCTCAGCTATGGTTCAGCATGGAGATGGATACTAAGCTCCGGCATTATCATCGCTGCATCTCAGGGACTCGGCCTCCTCCTAGTGCCAGAGAGCCCGGCTTGGTTAGCGGCGAATGAGAGCGTTGCGAAGGCGAAACAAACCCTGCAAAGGATCCGCGGCCGTAGCTACGACGTCGAAGAAGAGGCTGCCGTGTGGGACTCCGGGTTGGCACCGGAGGAAGAGGGCCTTCTCGATGATCCCTCTACCCGGCCGGTGGGAACGAACCCGAGGAGGGATTCGGCTGCTAGTAAGGCTAGTGGGAAGAATAGTTCCCACCTCGGCTTCTTGCAGGTCATCAAGGACCCCTTGTATCGTCCCGGACTAATAGCCGCTATTGGTGTTATGTGCGCACAGCAGCTGTGCGGCATCAACTCCATCATCATGTATTCGGTGTCTCTCCTAAGAGACCTCTTGCCGATCAACTCGGCATTGTTGACGATCGTGATATCAGCTATCAATCTCGTCACCACTGCCGCCTGCTCGCCGCTCCCAGACAAACTCGGGAGGAAAACCTGCCTTCTACTTTCCATATTCGGCCAGGGCGCGAGCGCCCTCGTATTGGCGGTGTCCATATTGTTCGAGACCAAAGTTATCTCCGCTCTGACGGTGTTGTTCTTTGTCGCCTTCTTCGCCGTCGGACTCGGACCGGTCCCTTTCATCCTGGCATCCGAGTTGGTCGGACAGGAAGCCGTCGGAGCTACCCAATCGGCCTGTCTGGGTGCAAATTACGTCGCTACATTCTTGGTGGCACAGTTTTTCCCGATCATCAACGTTGCTCTAAACAAGCGATTCGGGGGTGCCGGTTGGGTGTACTTCATCTTTGCCGCCCTGGCAGTCCTGAGTGGGCTTTTTGTCCAATCGCGCGTGCCCGAGACGAAAGGGAAAAGGGATGCGGATGAGGTTTGGGGTCGAACACGCCGGATTGACTAGAAGGGGGGGGGGGGGGGGGGGAGAGGGGGGGAGACTAGGATAACTGCGAATGAATGAAGTCACGTCTTGTGGATATACGTGCGAGGTGGTATGCATTGGATCTGGCCTTACCGGCTGCGCAGTAGCCGCTGCTGCTTAATCGCGTTCTCAAGCTGCATGATGCCCGCTCTGACACCATCAACGATGTACAATTGGTTATATGCAAAATGCTGCCCTCGGACCTCGCTCGCAGCGCCCCTGATGATGTCTTCTAGCCCGGCCATCCCCGCACATCCCATCACGATACACGTCACATCACTCCGAGAAAGAAGCCGCCGGGTCGCCTGTCTCAACTTGTCTTCGACAACGGCATGGTCGACGCCGTCGTGAAAATCCGAGGCGTTGAGGCCCGTAGACTCAACCCCGGCAAATTTGGTGTTGGCTTCAGACGTGACACTTATGCCGAGGAAACGCTGGACGCCGGCAGTTAGGTGCTCTTCCCAGAAGGCTCCTGTGGTGACAATGCCCCACTTGCACCCTGGGGAGATCAGGGAGAGGGCAGCGACCACGCCGGCCTCGAAGACGCCGGTAACGACGGTGCTGCCGAGCGACAATGATGACTGTAGGGCACTGACGAGGGGGTGCACGCTGAAGCAGGCGACTAGGATACCGTCGTAGTTGTCGCTGTCGGTGAAGTGGCTAGAAACCGCGGTGAAGCTGGCCCGGATGCCCTCGTCATCGTTGATACTAAGGGGGGCGTTGGGAGGCGCCGTGTATGCGAAGACCTCGACGGACTGTGTCATGTTGTTTTATAGTCAGAACTAGTTGGCCACGGCCGGTATCGGCGTAAGGGTTCTTATCTCGGGGTGTTGCGGGTCGGGTTGGGATTAGGGATAACCCACATATGGGAGGTCTACTTCGTCGATGACCTTTTTTATACCGTTCGTCATCGCCTGCGAGGAATTAGGGTTGATAACCAGAATCCTGGTTGCCCTTCCCCGGACTCTCTCCGTCGTCATGGCTGCTGCTGCGGTCTCCTTTTTTTCCTCCTTGGGTTAACTATATCTTCGGCTTTTTTGGGGGGGGGCTTCATCTGCTAGAGGCGATGAGATAGGGTTACCAGCTCACCCTGTGGCCCAAGTTTAGAGTTGCAAGTGAGAAGTTTAAACCAGAAGGTAGTACCAAGGCAGTTTTATATAGCGGCTATAGGTGAGGTCCCTAGACGATTAATGATCCTATCCGAAGGGTAATGATAAGGACACAACACCTTAGCTAATTGCAGAGTTTCCGATGACTCCGTGTACCCACGCCTACAAAGTAAAGCCTGCGCGAGCAGTTGTTTAAAATTACCTACTCATATGCTTCCTTAGCACCCTTTTCCTTAGCCTTCGGGGACGTAACCCACGTTTTTTCCCTCATAACAGAGAAACGCAGAGTGTAGCGAAGTGCCCTGACGTATCTCCTATGTAGCAATAAGTAGGTACAGTACCTGTACCTACCTAGGTGCGCAACCTCCTGACCTTAGGCATCGAGGCTATGTAGGTACCACCTATGTAAGCTAACTCACATACAGATAGCAGCCTCCAGGTTCAGGTGCCTATTGCTTGATGTGGTACCTACCTGTAGGTGTAGGATACCTGCCTAGGTGCGGCTAGGAGGTACCTAAGATTGGTAGGCAGGTACCTCTTAACTCAAGCCACCCGCCCCTTGTATCCGGTAATACCAGAACCAGAATACACCGCGTCAGCAATTGGTGGGGTCTTCAGCCACGTCCACCACAACGTCAAGGCCGCTCCAGCCCCGAATCCAGCCCCAAGTCCAGCGTCACCCTTTTATTGAGTTTCAACAACCCGAAGGCCCGGCGCTGAACGCTCCTTGTTCTAGACTGACAACCGCCCTGACTTCCAGGAACCACCAACCCCGCCGTCCGGGCTGCGAGTTAGCTGCAAGTAGTCGTTCTCACGGCAGTCTACACAAGCAGACCTCAAATCTTCATCGATATTCCGCCTCGTCCCCCACCGCTGCAGGGGTTCCTGGAACTATGGCTACCCCCCCCATTGGTGAGTAAACACTTCGGCTGCATGGTCTGTTCTGGCCTGTCACGGTGTCTCGAGTCACCTCGTGTCTAACGTGTCAAGGTAGTCCTCGACGGAGGCACCGGCTTCTTGAAAGTCGGCTACGCTGCGCAAAATTTCCCCGAATTCCAGTATCCCTCCATCGTCGGCCGACCAATCCTGCGAACGGAAGAGAAAGGCAACGAGAGCGACGTGGTGCTCAAGGATATCATGTGCGGTGACGAGGCCGCGGCAGCGCGGACTATGCTCCAGATATCATACCCGATGGAGAACGGCATCGTCAAGAAATGGGATGACATGCAACACCTATGGGATTACACTTTCTTCGAGAAGATGAAGATCGACCCGAGAGGACGCAAGATCCTACTCACCGAGCCGCCCATGAACCCCCTCAAGAACAGAGAGCAGATGTGCGAGGTCATGTTCGAGCGTTACGGTTTCGGTGGTGTCTACGTAGCTATCCAGGCTGTGCTGGCCCTGTACGCGCAAGGTATATACACACGCCTACACACGAACATGCCGGCTTCTCGAGGCGACTTTGGTACCTAGGGTCTTGTCTAACGTAAGCTAGGTCTGAGCTCTGGCGTCGTCGTCGATTCCGGTGATGGAGTCACGCATATCGTCCCCGTTTACGAGTCTGTTGTGCTCAACCATCTCACTCGACGACTCGATGTTGCTGGTCGAGACGTGACCCGCAACCTCATCTCCCTACTGCTACGGAGAGGCTACGCCCTCAACCGAACGGCCGATTTCGAAACCGTGCGACAGATCAAGGAGAAGCTCTGCTACGTTTCATACGACCTGGAACTGGATAAGCGCCTTAGCGAAGATACCACGGTACTTGTGGAGAGCTATACCCTGCCGGATGGCCGAGTGATCCGGGTGGGCAGCGAGCGGTTCGAAGCGCCCGAGTGCCTCTTCCAGCCTCATCTCGTCGACTGCGAGCAGCCGGGCATCGGCGAATTCCTTTTCAACACCATCCAGTCCGCTGATGTCGACGTTCGCGCCTCTCTCTTCAAGGCGATTGTCCTTTCTGGCGGTAGCAGCATGTATCCGGGACTACCGTCGCGGTTGGAGAAGGAACTGAAGCAGCTGTGGCTCACGCGCGTCCTTGGCGGCAACCCCGAAAGGCTCAACAAGTTCAAGGTCAGGATAGAGGATCCCCCCCGCCGCCGACACATGGTGTTCCTCGGCGGTGCTGTGCTTGCCAACATCATGGCGGATAAGGAGAATATGTGGATTTCCCAGCAAGAATGGGCGGAACAAGGAACGAGAATCCTGGAGAAATTGGGACCACGATGAGAGTGTGGATAGTTACGCGACAGCTATACGGCCGGCGAGTTGATGTAGAGAGGGGGAATATAGCCTGCCTAGAATTCCACGACGAATGTAGTCTCCGTGAAAGTCTTGAGCGGGAGATGACAAGCAACGAAGAAACCAAGGCGTCTACGAATATATATCATATAGCAACACATCATTTAGCCTTGCCACGATAGGGATGCCCGCGTAATTGTAATATGAGCCTCCCACAAACGCGTACATATATCGGGGGTGGATCGCGGCCACCATCAAACTGTAGGTACCTTAGTGAGTAGGAGGTACCTAGGTATCTACCTATATTAGGAACTTAACCTTAACGAGCCTAGGGGTGGGTTAGGTATGTACCTCCTGCCTACCCGAAGGACCTCTGGTTCGGTACCTCCTCCCGCTCTAGGAGGTACCCAAGTACATATCGGCGCGAAGTACCTACCTAAGGTACCTATCTAGGTAGCCTACCTCTATGGTAATTCGGGGGTGACTGCGCCATATACTGGCCGCGTAAGCCACACTTGGTGGACACCTCACTCCTGCTTACCAGACGTCCTTCTATGTAGACACGGAATCAAGCTCTGTCCTTTGTATCGACCGTCGACGTCTCCCGCCTCAGCCGTGTGACGACGAGGCAAATTATCGGCAGCTCAACCAGTCCGATGTCTTTCGCACCTTTTTGTCCCTTCTAATCCCGCGTTTGATTGGGTATATGTCGCATTCCCGGGTCGAGCGGTCGCTTGGATGCTGATGTTAGAGACTGGGCATTGAGATCGCCACCTGACGAGTCTCGTGCATTGCCATTCCCATTTTCGGTCCCAGTCCCCTCCGTCTCGGTCCTAGTCTCGGTCCTAGTCCTTCAGTCTCTCGCTCGTAACATACCAAAACAATACACGGGCCGGGAGCTATTCGAGGGGGGGCAAGCGAAGAGAGAATAGCCGTCACACGTCGTGCCATATCCGCCATATCCAGTCCGATCAGATCCATATCCGAGACGTGTTCCCCTCTTTCTACTTTAGAGCCTTGGCCAATACGCGATCTGGCCTAACGACACACGATACTCCTCTCGCTCCTAGTGTCGTGCGCACGGGAAAAAGATCCCCACGGCTAAGAGACCTGTCTCATCTCGCCCGACGCTCCCGGGCATAACAACACCAACGATGAGTCTCACTAATCCTCCATCTGGGGCTTCAGGCCCAGCGTCCGGCTCTACGAGGAACCTAAATCTGAAGAGGAGTGTCCAGGCCGCGTTCGAAGGTAGGCATATGGCCGTCGTTTTATTACTAGTATGCTACTTGGCGTTAGTAGCTCGCCACACAATCCTATTTCCCTACCGTTTCCTTACTCGACATCATCTTTTTTATCTACATAAATTTCTCGATCTAAGTCTGTCTCCGGATCATCGTGATTGGTGGGCTTTAATCTCACTCATTCCCGCCACTGGCTAAGTCCTTGTCTTGGAGAAGTTGCCGGCATTCGCGGCTGTATGGTTGTGATTTTTGGATTTGCCGTTGCAATTTCACTATTGTCCTTCCCTTCCTCCTGCCTCATCACCCCCCACCCCCCTTCCGTCACCCCTGAGAGAGAGAGGGACTATACAGTATGGTGTTTGGTAATGGCCTGAACACTACTCGCCGGTACCCTTCCATGGGGCCTCCGGAAGGGAGCGGAAAGAGCCTCAACTCCGCCGGCACGGGCAGCTACCTCGCCGGGTCTCGAGAGTCTCGTCCGAGACAGCCGTTTGCCTCCCTACACCGTAGTCAATGCACTACCCCTGAATATGGTTTCCCCCCTGGTATGATGCAGCGCTCGCTAGGTGATTGCACGACTAACCTATACCCACCAGATCCTAATGATGGAAGCGGAAATGTGGGTTATCAGTCTAAAGTTGGGGTCGTCGCCAAATACAAGGTTGTTGGATTCATCAGCAGTGGTACCTACGGCAGGGTATACAAAGCTCTTGGCCGGCAAGGCCAACCCGGGGAATTCGCGATCAAGAAGTTCAAGCCCGATAAGGAAGGGGAACAGGTCCAGTACTCGGGCATATCCCAATCTGCCGTGCGGGAGATGGCGCTCTGCTCCGAGCTCAAACATGACAATGTCATCAGGCTTATCGAGATCATCCTCGAGGATAAATGTATCTTTATGGTCTTTGAGTACGCCGAGCACGACCTGTTGCAGATCATCCATCACCACACCCAGCAACCGCGGCACAGTATCCCGCCCTCGACCGTCAAGAGCATCATGTTCCAGCTACTAAACGGGTGCCAGTACCTGCACAGCAACTGGGTTCTCCACCGAGATCTTAAACCCGCCAACATCATGGTTACGTCGAGCGGGCAGGTCAAGATCGGCGACCTTGGCCTGGCCCGACTCTTCTACAAACCGTTGCACTCTCTATGGAGCGGCGACAAGGTCGTCGTTACGATATGGTATCGGGCGCCGGAGCTACTCCTAGGGAGCCGGCACTACACTCCGGCGATCGACATGTGGGCCGTGGGGTGCATCTTCGCGGAGTTGCTGTCGCTGCGGCCTATATTTAAAGGCGAGGAAGCTAAGATGGACAAGAAAACAGTCCCGTTCCAGCGCAACCAGATGCAGAAGATCGTCGAGATCATGGGCATGCCGACGAAGGAGCGCTGGCCGTACTTGACGAGCATGCCCGAGTATACCAATCTTAACTTATTGAATGCGCCCGGCCAGCACCCCGGTCACGGTCACCACCACCACCACCATAAGTCCTCGTCGGCGGCCGCGACGAGCCATCTCGAGAAGTGGTATTACACCACCATCGATCCACGCTCCTCGTCGTCTCCTGCTTCTAACGCTAGCCTCGCGGCTCTTGGACCTGAGGGGTATAAGCTACTCGCGGGGCTGCTCGAGTACGATCCAGAACGGCGGCTAACGGCCGCCCAAGCCCTGCACCATCCTTTCTTCCAGGCCTCGTCGCCTTCGTCTAGCGGCGGGGGCGGTGGTAGCGCCGGTGTGGGCGTGAGCGCCAGTTGCTTTGAGGGGCTCAAGGTGGCGTACCCACAACGCCGGGTCAGCCAGGACGACAACGACATTCGGACTGCGAGCCTGCCGGGTACCAAGCGGTCCGGGCTGCCGGACGACAGCATAGTGCGACCTGTTAAGAGGGTTAAAGAGGCTTGAGCGAGCGGGGATAAGAGTGGTGGGTGGGCATGCGCAACCCAAGATCAGCCGTAGAGAGAATGGGGTCCAGAATGACGGCTAGAAGTACAATGGTATTGTTTCTCTACTACGGCAAGTAGCGGAAAGAAGGAGGGGGGATATCAGTATCCGAATGGGGGTTGGAAGAGTACACGGTATGGGCGTTGCACAGGCGCGGACGGTGAGCGTATGCATATTCGTCACTTCATTTTCAGGTGCTAGGGGCTAAGGAGGGCGTTTCGTTGTCTTTTCTTTCCCCCTTTTGAGTTCCTCAGCGGCCGGGTGACCGTTCCGTACAAGCGCTCCGCAACAGCGTCATCGTCACCGTTATCATTATTATCATCCGGCTGGGGAATGGCGTTAGTACCAACACGGGGCATTTCTAGGCGTTCTCGTTTCGAAGGGTAGTTTGGTCAACAGTTCGTCGAATACATATATCCCTTTTAGATAGCTTAGAGAAGGAGGCGGGAATATATAACTAGCATGGTCGAACGCCGTCTTTTCGGTCTACGCGCCTTCTACGATCATGTCGCGTCAGTCTGTGTTGTGACGGAGGGCAATCTAGGTGTTGAGACTCTTGGCTGGCTAACGGGCAGAATTCCCGTTCAACCCTTCAACTCTCCTTCCTCCCCTCTCTAAAGCGAAGCTAAAACGTGTCGGCCAAGCGGCCTCGTCAAGCCGGCGAGGCTAACATTAAAAAATTAGGTAGGTATCTATCTTAACCACACCAACAAAAGCACGCCACCCACCCCCCCCAGCCAGTTCGTTCGAGGCAGCGTTCTTAATCCTCTCCTGTTATTCCTCGCCTTCCCCTCCTATCACCCCGCTTCTATTTGTCGTTGTTATTTTTTTTTTTTGGTTCCCGTGGGCTCTTACGCTAGTTTCCCTAGCGAACCGTACTCCCCATTCCCTCCAATACCGCGCGCGCTCTGTGATCATGTCATGAATAGAGCAAACTATGGGTCGATCTTCAACGAAATTCGTGGCCAGGAGACAAGAGGCAGGAGATGAGAGGCCAAGATATCGGAAAGTTGCATGGCCTGGACACATGGGTATTAAGTGGCACGTCCACCTCGTTCTTGACTTCCGGCCATCAGCCACCCACGAACGACGTACCTCCTCCGTTTATCTCCCTTCTCACACCAACCTAGACGGGGCGTTTGCGGGGGGAGCAACGTAAAGCTGTCCTAGGAAACTTCTAGCTCTATCGTATTGGTACCTACGTCGCCTTTCAGACGGCCGGGGTCGGACGCGGATAATTCAGAGCTTATTGCAACAGATATCGGACTTTTATTGAGTGCCGCGCTAGACGAACGCCTGAAACCGAAGCACGGGTGCCTCATCGAATAGAGCAAAGCCATGCGACGAGATGTGATGCGTCCAATCAGGCAGCTGAGCAGACAGGAAGGTAACGGAACGGAATTCGAGCGGTATTCGTGCCTCGGAGGGGGTAGTATAATTCTGATGGATGGAGAGAGGATGACAAAACTCGTGGGGGACGGGGTATCAACGGAATCGCAAATTGAACCTCTACTTCTTAGCCGGCGCGGGAGGCGCCTTAACGTTGTTTGATAGCCACGCCAGACCCTCGAGTAGACCCTCGCCAGTCGTCGCGCAACTCGGCACGACATACCAGATCTTATCCTTTAGCTTGGACAGCTGCAGCGCCTCGGTTACCTCTTGGGGTTTCATGGCTGTATACGCAATGGCAGGTTAGCAAGGCTACGAGTTGCTTCAGCGTAGGCGCGGTTGCGGCTAGGAGCAGCCGGACCGGTTAGGTAGACACGGGGGTAGGTGATGTCAGATGCATACCGTCTTGGATATCTTGCTTGTTGGCGAACACAAGAAGAAGGCTGTCCTTCATCTCCCTGTCGTTGATAATGCGATGCAGCTCTTGACGCGCCTCGTCCATGCGCGCACGGTCCGACGAATCGATGACGAAGATGAGACCTTGGGTTCCTGTATGCGTATTGCCCGTTAGCATTCGCGTTCGGAACATCATGCTGCGCATGGTCGAAAGGGGTGCATGCGCGCGTATGTTTTCCTGATGGCTGTTTGTTCTGATAGGCTACTCACCGCTGAAGTAATGTCTCCATAAGGGACGGATCTTGTCCTGGCCGCCGACATCCCAGACGTTGAACTTAACGTTCTTGTATGTAACGGTTTCGACGTTGAATCCGACGGTAGGGATCGTGGTGACGTCCTGGCCGAGCTTGAGCTTGTAGAGGATAGTCGTCTTGCCGGCGGCATCGAGGCCCAACATCAGCAGTCGCATCTCCTTAGACCCGAAGATCTTGCCCATCATCTTTGAGAGTTGACCCCCCATTTTGACCTAGGGCGTAGCTTTTTTCTTCTTCTCTTTATTTTGAAGTCGATAGGAACGAAGGAAAGGGTGCGGAAAGCGTCGTTTCCTGTTGTTCTGTCTGGTAAGGACGAGGCCACATAAGATCTTGGGAGCTGAGGACGAGGGCAAATGCGCTGTCGTCGAACAAGGTGTTTAAGGTTGAGTCTGGGGGGGGCAGAGGAGAAGGGGAGGGAGGAGACAGGGAGAAAGACAGGGAGAGGGGAGAGGTAGGCGGGCCGGTCAGGTGATTTGTACGTCCAAAGGTGTCTCCGAGTTATCAAGTGCGCCGGCGGCCCACGGCCTAATTGCAACGCTGTCTACCTCTTAAACGTCTTCGCACCGGGTAGAGCAGTTTGAAAGTAGTAGTGGTCGTAGCGGCCGCGGTCGTCGTTGGAGGGAGGGTTCGTGATAGAAGGAGGAGGGAGGCAAGGAATGGAGGTTGCCGAGCGAGTCGCGAGCGGGAGAAGAAGGCAAGGACGCCGCTATATCCAGCGCACTCCCGTCCTCCTATTGGTATGGTGTATCGCGCCTATGCGGTGCGCGGAGGGAAACTTGAGGTAGATTACGTACCTGAGGAATTGAACCCGGTGGACACAACCAGCCGCGGTCCAAAAAAAGGGGGGGAGGGGGGGGTGGGAAGAGTAGATAGAAGGACACACACACACACACACACAAAGAGAGGGTGGGATGGAGGGGAGAGGGAGGTGAGAGACGTCTAGACGATGTGAGGAAGGGAGAGAGAAATTAGGGGCAACGAACACTCTGGAAGAAAATGAATGGTGGACTGGCGAGCAAGTATAGGCGGATAATACCACCAACTATAATCGAGTAGGAGGAGATTGAAGAGAGCAAGACAGAAATAACAATAACAACGAAATTGGAACAAAAAAAAGAGATATAGGAGTCTTGTCTGTCGGTTTCCCGATTGGAAGGTCAATGAAACATTAAAGCCAGCCTGGTCCCGTCCTAGAGGGAAATCCCAGTCTCTTATCACTGAATGTTTCAATAGGGGCTGGCACATGTCCTCCCATGGACATTGTGGACGCCATGTACCTATGTAGGTACCTACCTCTCTTACCTGGTAGGGGGTACCTGAAGGTACCTACCGGTATGCCTTGAGGCACCTAATGCAGGCAGGCAGGTGGGTAGGGGTACCTACACCAGGTAGGATGTGGGTATATCACAAACGCCATGTACCTACATCATGTACCTATTAGCCTCCGCTCCGGGCTGTCTACCGTGCTAGAGAGTCCACATCGGGCCCAATCGAGTTAGAGGAGCTATTTCCCCTGACCAGGGACAGGGAAACGCAGTATCTGTCCGGGCACCCTATCCCCTAGCCTAGCCTTGACTTTACACAGCTACCTGTAAGTACCTAGGTAGGTACGTAGGTAAGTAAGCAGAGGTACCTGCCCAGCCTCTAGCTCCGGGACGAAGTGCGTAGGGTACATAGGGTTACATTACATCAGGGTAGGATGTACGCAGAGGGCGCGTGTTATAATAGGACGTCTCGCTCTATATGTGTGTCGGTACCTGGATGCCTATCTTAAGTGGGAGGTAAGTAGGTAGGTAGGTAGGTATCTAACCTACCTGTACTTACCTAGACCTATAGTCAATTTGGAACAGGAATGCCATAACCCCCCCCGCCATGAACCTGCCGAAGCACCAAACCCACCCAAGGGAAACACCCAAGGAAAACATCCAAGGTAGTTTTTTTTATACACCTTTATTCGGTTACCGACCTAGAGCCCATATCTTTAGCACATCAAGCCCGCTAATAGCGAAAAGAAACCATAAAAACCCCCCTCCACCATTACCTAGGTGTCATCTTCTCTAGAAATACCTGAGGCCGCCAAGTACCTCTTAGGTACGCCTTCAGGCCTGCCCAGAGGAGGGACCTAATGTACCCAGTACCTACATGTCGTAAAGAGTACCTACCTATTCAAATGTTTTCGTTGAAGAACAGCCCCCCCTAACCCCTTGCCGCTATACCTACCCAGGTACCTAGGTATGTTACGAATGTTTTCGCCTCAGGTACCTAACCTTAGCACATGCAAATGGGCTCCCAGAGGCATCTACCGGAGCAGTGTTGGACGACGACGACGACGACGATGGCTGCTGGACGCACAGGGAACCCACCTCCGTCCGCCACACCGCAATTCACTGGAGAAGCGTTGTCGAAAATTTATCAACGTGAACCTCAATTCTACGCATACCCGGCGCAGAATATAACCAATGCTTCCAAGTCGCCTATCTACTTGTCTTCCGAGGCCCGCACCAGTTATACAAGCTTTCCCATTTCTATAGCATGCCTAAACCCATCTATGACCGCAGGCGAGACACCGGTAATATATAGCTGTCAGCAGTCGCCTTGCCTCAGTAGAACTCTTACTGCCCCGCGTATAGCTCCGACCCCGCTCATTCTCGCAGGGCCCCGGGGACCGATACCCAAACCGTCTCTCCAGAATCTGTCAAAACTCCGACCACCTCGAGTCGACCCAGAGAGGCAAAGGTCGCCCCCCCCCCCCCCCCCCTCAGCCACGGTACTCCACCACGTGTCGACGGGTGACAGCTTGCATCGTGTTGCTGCTCTCTTCCCCCTCGAACTTGAGGTTCACCTTGCCGTCGCCATCCATGCCCATAACTTCGGCCTTGTAAAACGTCGTAGTGTTGGGGTACAGCGCGAGAACCGTCCTGCCCGTCTCGAGCGGTGGTAATACGGTGCCCTCCTTCGGGATGAGGATCATACTGCCCGCGCTGGTCCGGAAATCTTTCTGGTGCCCGTTCTCGTCCACGTCCGCATCTAGGACCCGGTACCGCCGCGCCTTGCCCTCGCCACGTACATCTTGGACGATGCCCAGGATCCAGTCCGTCTGCTCGTTGTTCGTCGGCTTCGGTTTGAAAGCGACCTCGTCGTCCTTGGCAAACGCCTGCTTGGTGCGAATAGAGTTGGATGATGGGCCGGACTGCGGTTCAGCGCTGCCTGCTTTGGCTGCTGGCGTTGATCTGTCTAACCGCGGGGGCACGGAATCGCGGTCGCCCTTGCTACCGCCACCCATCCGACGAGGTACGGCAGGGTTGGGCGACGGGACCGGAGAGTCGCCGGCGCCGTCAAAGTCGTACAAGGAAGAGGCTGCGGCCGACTCCTTGGCCCGTTGGGCGGCCACCCGAGACGTGCTCGACTCCTGCTGTTCCTCTTTAGCCTTTTGCACCGCCCGCAATACCTTGAGCTTCTCGATGGTCTCGATGAGATTCTGGCTCGCAGTTTCGTTAAATTTAACGCCTCTGCGGAAGTAATTGTCCAGTTTTGTATAATCTTCAGATGTGAGGGCTAAAATGCGAGATAAACCTAGTCAGAACATTGACGCCATCACCGCCGTCATCACCATAAAAAGAGGTGCGCGGAGACGCGGGAACCTACCGTTCTTCTCCTTCTTCTCGGCCATACGCTTCTCCTGGTCGCGAATATCGAGAACGTTCGCGCTACTGTCGTTAAAGGCGTCGAGAACGGCGGGCATCTTCTCCCTGATGTCCTTCCACACGCTTAATTCCTCGCCATGCTCGCCCACTTCGCTGTTACGATTAGGACCCCTGCGCTGGTTCCCGCGCGAGGACATGACGGCCTGAGTCGGCAGCGAAGCCGAAGGCCCGCTCTGCCCAGGCTTTGAGGCGGAGGGTCTGGACTTTGAGGCTCCGGCCGTTGGTTGGGGCTCCGCCTCCGCAGCGGTATTGCGACGCCGACGGGTACCCGACGGAGAGTCCCAGGCGGGTCCGAGGTCACAGGATAGCCGCTTCAGTTGGGTAGGTAGTTTCATGTTAGCGGTAATCGCGGTGGCAGTGAAGTGAACGAAGCAGTAAATCTCATCGACATCAAGGGAGGGACGTCGAGTTGTGTCTCCCAGATATCTCTCAATCTACACGACCGAGAATACTCTAGGGGCACATGATGTATAAACCCGGACAGAGCAGAAAATTGATAGGAAGACAAATGCGGACAGATAAATGCAGAAAGGTATAGACGAGTGACACGATTGCGTAGCTATGTACCAAGTTGATGGGGGAAACATTGTGAATTGACCTACAGAATTGGCAAGTCGAGTCGGGAGTCGATGGTAGTAGCAGTCAATAAAGGAGGCAGTAGTAGAGGTCGTAGCCCCAGTAACAGCTATGGCAGCTATGGGGAGGTTGCTGGTTACTCAACAGTGGGAGCCGAGGATGAGAAGGAGAGGGCGTGAAGGATTCAGGCAGGTCTAAGCAGTGTCAACACTTAGGTGGGGAGACGGGACGACGAAGGTCGCTCTCCAGCCAGAAGATGACGAGGCGCAGGGACGATTACTAGGAGGACTAGGTATTGGTAGCTCCTAGGAGGGAGTGAGGGAGGATGGATGGGTGGATGAGAATAGGAAAAAAAACAGAAGAAGGGAGTTCTTTGAAGCAGAAGGAGATAAAAAGGTGCCTGGGGCGGGCAGGCTAAGTTGAAATACATACATCCATTAGGTGAGGCGGAAGGTTATGTAGGAGGTACCTACAAGCATGCGAAGGGGGTTGCGTAGACGGATGTTACGTAGCCCCTAGGACATACCGACGATACTGCTATAGGTACGCAAGCCGTAGCGTTAGGCGTAGAGGCAACGAACGGGTGCCGGAATTGAGGTTCTTCGAGGGGGGTGGACGCGCCCGATTGGCGTGGCGCATGGCCTGGATCTAGGTTGGACGGTTATCGCGTCTTGTTCAGGGTTGGGCGATGAGCCGCCGCCAAGGGGGCGGTGAAGCCGATAGGACTGGCAGAATTCCCGGGTTGGTTAACGCAGGCGGTGAACCGCCGGTTGCAGCACCTGCCTTGCCAGTAGCGCGGGGTAGCTAGGGCCTGCTCCACCTTAGCACCTTATACCAGGTACCTAGGTAAGTACCTCATCTGGGTACCTAAGGTACCTAACCTCCTAGCGGTAACAACATTCCCTATAGGTGGCATTCTACTGGATGCCAAAACCCACCGTCAACCATACCCTCTGACATCGTCGCCCACGGATTAGACACGCCACAAGCCTCGAGCTCTGCTTCGAGTCCCCGTCCTCATCCCCATCCTCATCCTCACCCCGATCCTCGTTGCCGTCGTACTAGCCGTAGTCGTCCGATATGGTGTTACCTGTTCCTTTGATACGACTCCGATGTGGGGTGAATTCCTACGACTGGGGCAAGATCGGCTCTGAGTCTGCCGCAGCTAGATTTGCTGCGGCGACGCCGTCGGATACCTTAGCCATCCAGCCCGACAAGCCGTACGCCGAGGTGCGTACTCATCCCCGGCGCGCGTATCCCTCCGTAGTAGCTAACCCGAGAGCTATTCCGCCTTGCGGCGTGGTCAGCTATGGATGGGTACTCACCCCTCGAATCCCTCTAGGGACTTTAACTCTGGTCGAACCCTTCACGAGCTCGTCGAGCAAAATCAGATGTTACTGGCGCCTTCTATAAAAGCGAAATACGGCACCAAATTGCCCTTTCTCTTCAAAGTGCTCTCCATCAACAAGGCTCTCTCCATCCAAGCACATCCCAATAAGAAGCTTGCCGAGCAATTGCATGCCAAAGACTCCAAGAACTACCCCGATGATAACCACAAGCCCGAGATGGCTATCGCTATCACTGACTTCGAGGGTCTCTGCGGGTTCCGCCCACTCGGCGAGATCGCGCATTTCCTATCATCCGTTTCTTCGTTACGAAAATTAATCGGCGACGACGTCGCGGAGGCCTTCATTACGACTGTCAAGAGCCAGGAGGGGGATACTTCAACCGAGTCGACGGCGCAGAACAAGAAAGCCCTCCAGTCTGTCTTCTCAGCCCTCATGAAGTCACCGGAAGCGGAGATCTCGTTAGCTGCCGACGCACTCGTCTCGGAAGCCGCGAATAAAGGCAGTGAATTCGCCGATGGGGGGGTCGAGTCTACGAGCGGTGTGGTCATGTCCGAGTTAATCGTTCGGTTAAACCAACAGTTCCCGAAAGACATCGGCCTTTTCGTTCTGTTCTTCCTCAACTTCGTCAAGCTTTCCCCCGGGGAGGCCCTCTTCTTGAAAGCCGACGATATACATGCATACGTATCGGGAGATATTATTGAGTGTATGGCGGCGAGCGATAACGTCGTCCGAGCGGGGTTCACGCCCAAATACAAAGACGTACAGACGTTAGTCGATTTGTTAACGTACGAATACGCTCCTATCGAGGAACAGAAGATGTCGCCTACCGAATACCCCTACGTAGTGCTCAACCGTGCCGCGTACAGTTCTGGCTCGGAGGCGATACTATACGACCCGCCGATCGAAGAGTTCAGTGTGATCAGAACCATCCTCAAGGGCGACAAGTCGAAGGCCACCTTTGATCCCGTCGACGGACCGAGTGTCGTGATTTGCACCGGTGGCAAGGGCAGGATAAGCGTGGGGCCGAAGTCCGAAGAGATCAAGGAAGGTTACGTCTTCTTTGTCGGCGCCACCGCAGAGCTGATTCTAGAGTCGGAAGGTGACCAAGAGGACGAGTTCACAACTTTCAAGGCGTTTTGCGAGGTCGAGGACCACAGCAACGGGGCACAGCTGTGAAAACGAAAGGAACAGAAAAGGTATCTTGCTGGGGAGAATGGAGTAATAAGCTAAGCATAGCGACACTAGGGGACCGTTATGTCCGGGATATATGTGAGGCGAGGCGATACGCTGGGATCTCCATAGAGTGCTCCGGGCGGGGAGGAGGGCTTGAACGATACATTTAGCCGAGTAAAAGAGAGATACCGCTGCCGCCCGTAATGTTCGCCGATCCGGCGTGCACGACAGAGACATCGATTCCCCATTAAAAGTTGATTCTGACCACCCCCCATGCCCTTATGAGCAAGGTTGCCCCCACAGCCAGAGTTGATACGATAATCCACAGAGCGACGCTTAGTCTTGGGAGACAGCAAGGTTGCGTCGGCCTCACCATGTCCTCGTAGAGAAAAGAGAAAATAGGTGGGGACACCTTGGAAAGCATTCAACACCATGGGACCTAAGGCAGATACACCTTATCAGGTATGACATATTCGCCGGCAGGTGTCGGGAGATCCCGCCGTAGGCAGTAAGACTATGTACCTCGTTTATCCTCGCGCCCTCCGCTTAGGAGACGGTCCGGGCCTGGCTATATATCTCTCGAGGAGGTTACGGGACGCAGATGGTTTAACCACTAGGCGCGTGAAGGTCGAGCGAAGAGATGGTGGATATTTATGTTGGGTAGGTAGGTAGGTATACCTATATAGAAGTGCAAAATAGCTAGGTATCTTGGGGGTCTATATATTCTCCTGCACGCTTACGTACCTGCTGTCCGCTCGGGTCCTCGACGCTCTTTGTACGATGAGGGTTCTCACGGGCTACGACACAACCGTAGGCCGACCCGAGGAGCACACAACCTTACCAGAACCCTTGGGGGTCTGTCTGCCCTCCGAGGATATCCATGTGCTCAATGTGGCCGGGCATTAGATGTGTCTTAGCCAGGTTCGAGATCCGGGAAGAAGAAAGCTTGACGGTGGTCTGGATTTTACATCTTTCGAGCAAGCACCCCATGACGGAGTTTCACTTTCATCCAGAAGCAGGCATGTTATTAGGTAGAGATGTAACAGAGGCAAGCTGAAAGCGTGTTGAGGTAAGTAATTTAGACGTCCCGGAGCAGGACCCGCCTAGTGGGGCAAATAGAACGTCCATCAGAAACCGTTGGGTTGGCCTAGGTACCTAATTGCTTGCTTTATGCAGGTAGGTTTACTGAGTGCCTCCTAGTAGGTACCTGCCCCTAATCTGAAGGGTTTCAGGGAAAAGGATCACGCTCCAATTAGTACCCATTACCTCCTAACGTATTCTGGGCACCTGACTTGTTCTCGACCACCCCAGGGAAGACGAAGACGGGAGGGGCCAGGTGGAAGAGGGAGATGAGGGACCCTGTTCTGGATCCCGCCATGATCGATCCTGGCCTGCACGCATATGCTGCCCACCAATGACACGTCTCCGTCCCCGTCGATGCAGCTCACAACCGCGACGAGTATCCACTGTCCGGCTTCTCTTTATCGTGAGCCCAGTAGCCAGCCGTTCGCGAATCTACCCCTCGCTTTCCGACGCGCCACGAAAGCATTCGATACTCGGAGACATCTCGCGTGCTGCCAAGGATAGAGTCATCGTTTTTCCCTGCCAGAATCGATCGATGGGTGGACAATACCGTTGTGCCTCCCCTTGCTCAAGCGTAATGACGCACGTTGGGAAATGCTTCTTCGTCCAATCGATGCCGGGCACCTACCTTCCGCCCATTCCGGGAGCGTGCACATATGGCTGTAGTGAACGTGTAAGCCTGTGTGCCTCCTGAAGGATAGGACCGACAGACTGGAGACGGCCATCGTAAAAGTCCCTTGTGAGATGCGTCCCGGAAAGCGATAAAATGGCTGGCGAGACCACCACCCCGTAGTCTGCTAGGTCCTCTGATGACAAGTAGACTCTTCATCTTTCTCCTTCGCCCTAATCCATACGCGATTTCCCTACAGGTTAGGGAACCCCCAAACTCGCGTCTTGCATTTGTCCATTTTTGCTCCTCCGCGCCAATCCAACGGTCTTTGCGATAGACGCCTAATAGCTCGTGAAGAGCGATCCGCTATTGAGCCGGGCTCGATACTTGGATATATAATATCTCATCACCTGCTCCCTTCTCGGATACCTGCTCCGTGCTCCGCCGGTATCGGCCGCTGTCCGCAAGAGAGAATCGAGGGGCCACAAAAAGAAACCAAATTACGACAATGTTGGTGATCGCGTCCTTCGTCACCCTGTTGAGCCTCGCGGAGGCGAGCCTGAAAACTCCACGAACCCCAACCCCTTCCGGCCTAGGTCCGTGTTCGGCAACCACACCAACAGTGGAGGCAGCTATACCCGCAAAAACGGCAACAGTGAATATGAGCTTCTACCCAGTTCCGCGGAACTCATCAAGCTCAGCCCGGCAGTCGACGACGGCGCCTATCGCCGTCCAGACCCAGACCGCGGACCTACCTATAGATGCCTATGCGTCCATATCCGCCGGAACCACAAACAACGCTCCGAAGGTCACGGCGTCGCCTGAGCTTGGTCCTCCGGGTGCCAACTTTCACGAGATAGGCGCCAAGTTCGTGCAAACGACTTATTGGAAGTGCGTCACATTCTCCTTAGAAACCCACTGCGGGTGGCATGAGCCTATACTGGATGCCGGTGCTGGGAGGATCGGATGCGAGGGCGGTCGGGCTGCGCTGCGGGCCGGTGTTGTTGCCGGTGTCGTTGCCGGTGGATTAGTGTTTGGCATGTGACGCTTGCTCGAAGGATGTCTCATTTTTTGCGGGTGCCTTTATTATTGTAACCTCGAATCCGTGCTGTGGGAAGAAGATACCTGGGGATACTGGAGTTTGGGAGTTAGTAGACACGGGTGGAAAAATAACGGATCTAGCCTCGTCCTGATCTTCAAGAATAAGTCACATGAAATGCAAGACGGCCGTTGCCGTAACAACTCCTTGATTTATGCTATCGTGGGGAAATCATCAAATGCATTCCGTCACGCCTCGAAAAAAGGTGCCGGTACCATGTCGTGCCCGGTTTGTATGTAGGACGCAGAAATCCATTTTGCGTATAATGCACAGAGCCAGTGCCGAAGCCGAGCCAAACCCACTCCGCAGAGACCAGAAAACCCAGAAGCCCACGTCTATTTCTCCTTCTTCGCTTTGGCGCCCTTGACCTTCGCAGTACCCCGCAGGGTCTTCTGTCGGTTCTTGCGCTGCTTGCCTGTATTCGCACCGTCGTGTTAGCACCTCCGCACTTAGAAAGGTGGGTAGAAATGGCCCCATATGCCCCCGGAAGCTCTGAGATCGCGTAGGAAGGGAGAGCCGGGGATGCGGCAACGTACGCTGCTGTCTCGAAGCTCGTTCGGGCTTGGTTGCCAGACCGACACGGATCAATCTGTACTGAGGCTCGAACTTCTTCAATGCCTCGGGGGAGTCGTAGATCAGGGCGAAACCTGTCGTCTTGCCGCCACCGAATTGCGTTCGCAGGCCGAAGACGGAGACCTGCTCTTTCTGTGCCTTATAAAGGGTCGACAGCTTTTCCCGAAGCTGCTCCTTCGAGATATTCGGTCGGCCGGGGTGCAGAATGTCACTATGTTAAGAACCGCGAATTAGTTAACTGGTTCGGTACTGCTGGCTGATGCTTCCCTCCGGCGTGGATTAGGGGCGAGAAATCGGCGGCGGCGCGGCAGAAATGCGTCGGGGGAGACGGAGCGAGGAGATACACGTACACGACCATCTGCTTGCGGCCGAGGAGAGGGTTGCGAATGAACTTGCGGGTTCGCAAGGTGACGGGGGTATCGGAGTCAGCCATGTTCGCGACGGAGAGGCAGACTGCGACAGACTGGACCGCGATGTTGCTGCTGGGTGATGGGATTTGACAGTGAGACTTGCACAAAAATTCGCAGTTGAGGTGGAATGTTGTGTGATTGATTGGGGTTTAGAACGGAATGGAAAATCCCCATCCGTGGGCTGTCATGCTTGCCCGCACAAAGCGCTGTACTTAGGCGAGGTTAAAACCCTAAGAAAGGTTGAGAAAGGGTGCCTAGCTCAGGCGTGGGTCTTGATTAGATAACAGACACTCTTTCCGCCACGCACGTGCCTCGGCCGCAGGTACACAAGTACCTACCTCTACCCTATTACCCAGGGTGTCTCCGGGGGTATTTCGACCCGATCTCGAGCATTTCCACCGTGGCCCTTAATGATGGCTTATTAACCGTTAACTGCCTACCTACAGACATTCTTACCGGTAACCTACCTACCGACTTACTTAATGCTGCCTTCACAGGGCGGCATGGGAGGTGGTATTGAGCGGCGATGGAGAGACAGACCCCTAACACACCGAAGTAAAGCAACTTGATGCTCCGAAATATAAACTAAAGAAAAGGAATTTTCCTCGACTGTCTCCTTCAAACGTATCAGAAGCCGACTGAGTACAGATAACCCACCCAACATGGTGCTAGACACACCTGTGTCTACAGATACTGCCGGCATCGGTCGTTTCTGTCGCCAGTATCTGCAGCTAGAATCGGATCTGGACTATCCTCCACCCGTCCACCTGCGAGATGCTCGTGTCCAGGATATCCTCTACCGTCGCATATTTGCCGATGGTGCCCTCCCTTACCCCCCTCCTCGGAGGTATCAGTTGAGAGTTTTGAAGGAGCTCGTGTCAAGAGTTGAATCGAGCATCGAGGACTGGGATCTCTATGTAAGGAAGCGCATTTCTCACAGAAGTACCTAAAGATAACCCTCGTTGCGCGATGGCCTTTCTCGCCATGGATCCAGGGCTGATTCCTTACCGTCTCAGGGGGTTTCGGAAGACTTGATGGCTGCTCTCTCCCATCTGCTCGCTTTCCCGCTCCCGTCGGAAGCCGTGGCTGTGCAGCAGAAGTCGTATGTCACGTACTCTCTGCCAGCTCTTGACCAGTCGAATAATCTAGATTCTCCCCCGGCTCAGATCACGCTGCTCGAGTTCCGTCATCTCATTTCCGCCGCCGGGACAACCGGATTGAGGACGTGGGAGGCAGCTCTCCATCTTGGGAAATTTCTCTGCGCGAATCCGTCCTTCATCCGGGGGAGGCGCATTTTAGAGCTAGGGGCCGGCACCGGGTACTTGTCGATACTCTGTGCCAAATTCCTAGCCCCTACCCTGGCCATCGCGTCCGATGGTTCCGACGATGTAGTAGCAAACCTCCCGGAGAACTTCTTCTTAAACGGCCTCCAGGAATCAGGTCTAATCCGGGAAATGGACGTGAAGTGGGGGCACGCTCTAGTAGGAACAGAAGACGAACATTGGAATGGCGGCAGGCCGATTGACACTGTTCTCGGCGCGGACGTCACCTATGATAAAAGCGTCATCCCGTCTCTCATTGGGACGATGGAGGAACTCGTAGGGATGTTTCCCAAAGTTACTATCCTTATCGCGGCTACCGAAAGGAGCCGCCAAACATTCGACGTGTTCCTCGGGGTCTGTGAGGAGAGACGCCTCAACGTAGAAGACATTGGCCCCAAAATTCCGCGCAGGCAGGACCAGGAAGGTCCATTTTACAATGACCATGTACCGATTAGAATATGCAGAATAACCAAGTCGGTAGAATTGTAGAGCTGCAGTGTGTCGCCGTCGTCTACGATTGTACGCAAGGAGGATGAGAATAGAGCGAGACATGAAGCCGAATAGAACAAGAGCGACATCATCAAGTTGCTCTGAGCCCGAGTGCCAAGGATACGAGATAGGGGGTACCTCTGTGACTTAGGAATTGGGTGTCCCCCTTTAGAGAAGAAACGGCGGGGCCAAGGGACATGTCACCAAAATTGAGAACCGAAGTTATTCATGAGGCCTCTAGCCCATTCCTGAGGCAAATCTATTTTTCTGCCGACTAAGCCCCCTATCCTTTCCGTTCGCATCCGTTTATCATGAAGTCGTACTGGGCGTAAGAGAGTTACCGTCGTCGCGATAACATACATATCCCAATCATCCAAGATGAACGCGATACGTTGAACGCTCTCTCACTTGTGCTCGCCGCCGACGCAGATGATCCGCCCTTCGACCCTGGGCGCGATAGCCCTCGTCCAGTCGACTTTGAACTCGCCATCCTGGAGCTCGTCCCCAACCCGGCATTCTACCCCCGCGATTCGCGCCCACTTGGAGAACACCCTGCGCATGACCTGCATCTCCTTGTCGATCATTTCAATCTCGTTTGCATCCCCCTGGTTCTCGTGGCTCTCATCGTCGTCATCGTCAGTTTCCTCCGTCGAGACGGCGCTCACCTTCCGCTGTCGGATCTTCTGCGGGGTCCAATTATCCCACCCGGCGCCTTCGGACCGCGCCGGCAGGCTCTCTGAGCTTGGGGCGGAGGAAGGGTCGTAGTGAGTATGGCTGGCGTTGACCCTTTGCGTGACAGAGTCCCAATGGCGACCCACTGGATAGCGCCATGTTAGCCTACTCGATCTCGAGCACGTTTCGGGATGACGACAGCATCAAGTAAGTAACTAGAGAATCCTTACTATTTCCCCAGTACTTCCACTGGCCCATCACCCGAAGCGACATGAAATACTGGCGGAGCATCATGGATATCAATATTCCGTTCTCCTCGGATACAATCTCCTCAGCCTCACCGCCCTCTGATTCAATCAAGAGGCTGTCATATCCGTCCTTACCGCGAGCCATATAGCCCCGTGTCACGAGGACATATTTTCTAGCCATGTCGACTGGCTCGCCTCCTATCGTCGCTGTGACTATCCGGGAGCCGGAATCTCTACGGCCGTCAAACTCGAAGGTGATGTTAGAAACCTGAGGGAACCGGCCCTCAAGAGCTGGATACTGTGACAGGCCATTCTCTAGAGCGTCCCATATGGCTTTGCCCGTAACTTTGATCACGACGACGGGGTCTTCAAACGGGAAGCAATTCATCTAGGTATAATAGGTATAGGTAAGCTCAACAACCAACGCCGCTGGAATACCCCGAAAAAAAAATCAATGTCGCTCTAAGTGTTTAGATACGACATTTGCGAATAACATTTCGTAAAGGGAAGACAAGAATAGAAATAAGAATAGAAAAGAAGCTGCTCACGATATCTTTCAACAAGATGGGACCTGGGGGATAGATCTGGTCTCCGCGGACCGTGCCCGACGCCATCATGCTGCAATCTCCCGAGTAGTAATGGCGCATAATATCGCACACCCAGTTGGCTATATTGCTCTCCTTCAGCCGGACGGTGCGGAATCTGGCGTCGAGAGGGGCGGCGGTGAATCCGATAGGCTTTTGAAGGGTTGATTTGAGGCTTGCTGTCAACCTTTCAACCAGCTCGACGGTAGGCTCGTGCGGTGGGATTGCCGATGTGACATCTCGCCTTACGATATCAATATCCCACCGGCCCGAGTCGTCAGCCCGCCGCCTCGCCTCCAGGTAACTCAGCTGCTTGAAGTCAGTCCCCGAGCGTAGGACATGCGTCCCCTTAATAACACTATGGTTATAGTAGTGGTCGTGGCCGCCCAGAATGATGTCAATGATGCCATCGGTCTGTTCGGCCAGCTTGTTGTCGTTAGGCTCTCGCATGTGCGTAATGGCAATGACAATATCGGCGCCCTCGGCTCGCAGCTGGGGAACGAGCTCCTTAGCCGTCTCCGTGGCGGACCTGTAGATAAGGTCGGGGGGGAGATTGTTAATTGTGGCTAACCATTCGCGTTCGCCGAGCCCGAGCAGGCCGATCTTGATGCCGTTGGAGGCGGTGATGATATGGGTCTTGCTGCAGTTCCCAATCGGAACGGAGTCCCCTAAGGCGGGGTCCAGAACATTCGCGATGAGCCAGGGGAACTTGCACCGGGAAGATAGATGTCCGAATTGGCGAACCCCAAAATCAAGATCGTGGTTCTAGACGTCGCCTATAAGCAGCCGAAGTCACCTAGCCGGGCTGGGTCGTAGTACATACCCCTAATGCGGCAGCGTCGGTCCCGATCTTGTTCAGGAGAGGCACCATGTGATCACCTGCCAAATTTGTCCGATCAGTTACGCCCAGTCTCACCGGCCATGCTCATACTCGTAACAGCAGCGGTAATAATGATACTGATAGGCAATTGCAATTCTGGTTATAGAGAAAAGAAGTGCGAGGTGCGAGGCCTCGAGCGTCGTTCCCGGGGTGGTAGGCTGTCGTAGGGCACTCAGCAGAAGGGTACGAGTTTGAGCGGGAAGGAATTCCGCCCAGAGGCGGATCGCGAGACATACCTTTCGTAACAGAACTCTCCAAGCTGGGATTGAACGCATCCCCCGAGAACAGTGTGACCAGGTCGGGCAGGCCGGCGAACTTCTCGCCATCCCGGTAATGTTTGACGAGGGTCATGAAGCGAGCGACGCCACCCACCGGCTCGCTGCTCGAGGGGTCGAGATGGTAGACATCATTGTAGTGCAGGATTCTCACGTCCGGGGGTGCGTCGTGGGTGCCCGAGCTGTACGTGACGGACTCGTCGGGGGGCGCTGCCTTCTTCTCCCCCATGGCGACGATTGGCTCCGGGAACAAGAACGTACAGAGCGCTTGGCTTGGTGCGAGTATCAAGGAAACGGTAAATCTACGGAGCAGAAAGAAAAACGGAGGGGAGGAAAGGGAATTGGCAAGGGGGGACCTGGGTGTCTAAAAGGCGGTATACCGTCGAAGCAGGCGAGGAGAGAGTTGACAAAGATGAGAGCTTCCATACTGATATTTTTATTGCCTACCTCCTCTTAGTGGAACTCGACACGGGCAGCGCATTTCATGCCATGCCGGTATGCAGGTGGTAGGTAGGTAGGTAGCAAGGTGTGGTATGTCAGGTAGGTATACCTACGTCTACCTGAAGGTATACCTACCTGACATATGCGTGTATGTAGGTACAATTTGCTGGCACCAGCGGCCACCACCAACGGCCAAGAGAGCGAGACGGATTTTCGGGTTGAGGTCGGAGGACTGGCTCTTTTATAATTCATTCCGTTCCTATTATCCAGCACTACTCGGCGGGTATTTCGGCTTTCTTTTGGGGAAAGGTCCTATTCATCTCTGTTCCCCTCTTTGTATTTTTCTGCTTCGTTACTTGTGAGTGCTATGACCCCTCAGGGATCCTCCACTCCCGCTAGTTCTGTTGGCCGCGTAAGTACCGAATGCAGGCCCAGGGAGCGGAGCGGAGCGGGCTCACAACGTGGCAAATAGGGGCTACTCTGTTGATAATCCGCTGGGCTGAGCAACGTAAGAGTGAGGAAAACCCTCCCTAGTCTCATGTGTATGGATCCTGGGAAACGGAAACCTGATGTACCCAGGTAAAGATAAATACCTATATGTTACGTAGCAATTGAACCAGCCCTTATATGCCTACATACCGCAAGGCGTAAATGTAGGCGTCTACGTTTTACGCGACACTATACTAAAAGAAAGAAGAAAGAGTAAAGAAGACAGACAGACAGAGAGGAGAGAGAAGCTACCTACGGCTTACTTGCATATTGCCGGTTGCTAGAGAGGAAGTATACCTAGGAGGTACCCACCTAAGGGGGTAGAGACCTGAGACCTTACTTAGGAGGCAGGGTACATGCATTAGAGACCGGGGTAGGTACCTCTACCAGGAATCGAATGTGGGCAGGTACTTGACATGCCAACCTATGATGTAGCAGGTAGGTATATAGATGCAGACTGACGTACCGTACAATTCAGGTGTGAGCTCACATGCCAGGTACCTAACCCGATGTATTGTCCAATTCTGCTCGACACCTACGTCCAGACCTCGACCTCGACCTCGACTACCCACATGTGCGTACCAACAATACATCCGCCCCTGGTTTATCAGCTTCCCAGACTCCTTTTCTTTCTTTCTTCGGTATCTCCAGTGCGAACTTCCGTGTTGAACGCCGTTCGCTGCTCCACCGCACAAACTACACCCCCGTGACCACACACACAACAGTATGCCCAGGTGGGCTCTTTAGCCTCCCTCACGCCAGATCCCAGCGCCGCCCGACTGCCACTGTTCCCACCACGAACCTAAGCTTCACCGGGCCAGATCGAGTCTGCCAGCTCTCTCACTAGCTTCAGCTTGGCAATCATGTCCTCCCGCGTCACCGCGTTGCCGAGATGGTGGCTGGCAAATCCGCACTGCGGGCTGACGCAGATCCGCCCCAGAGCCTCCTCACGTGTCTGACCGGCGCCTTTCGCGATGATGTCGGCGGCCTGGAACACCCGGTTGCGCATCTCGTTGAGGTCTTCGAGCTCGGGGAATTTGCTGGTAATCACCCCCAGCACCACATTCTTATGTGCCGGAAGCTCCTTCAGGGGTTCGAAAGTGCCGGCTCGCTCCGTGTCATACTCGAGGAAGTACGTGTCCGCGGCAATTTCGTTGAAGAGCTTGAGGGCGATTCGGTCGTATCCTCCCTCCGAAAAATGTTTGCTGTACGCGAAGTTCCCCCGGCAAAGATGGATTCCTAGGTGCATGTCGGATGGGCGTGCCTTAACGCAGTCGTTGTACAGCTTGATGTACGAGTCGAGGAGCGCGTCGGCATCTTCGCCGTCTGCCTTGAACCCGGCAATCATCTTCTCATCACAAAAGTCTGCCGTTATAGCCGTGGTTAGCGCCCGGTTCGTCGGGACGGCAACGAACTCTACGGCTCTTCCGCTTACATGCTAGGTTCGGGTCGTCGATGGTGACGTTACGGCAGCCGTTATCGTATAGGATCTGAAGTTCCTACAGCACTCCCGTCAGTAGCGGCCAAATAAGTACGGGATGCGTGTAGGCCAACTGTTCGGTACGCTGCAGCAATGTCGGCGAAGTACTCGGCGTCAGTGGCATACACCTCCTTCGGATACGCCCTGCCTTTCTTGTATCGTAAATGGTACCTGCAAATGTATACCGATGAGAAACACTACCGTAGCAGGGAGCTGGGGGCTGGGTCAAGGGATAAAATAAAGGGAATAGATGTGGTTCCGAGGCACGAGAGCCGGATGACACCCGCTAGGGCAGCTGACAATCGCCAAAGAATGGACATTGAACACGAGGACTCACCATTCGGGGGCGGCCAACGTCAACTTTAGCTCCCTTACTTTATCGGCGGGCACTAGCTTCTTCAAGTAGTTCCAGTCGGATAGATACGAACTTCCAACATGCTTAATCTTTCCAGTGCAGACGATGGTCTCACCCGGCTTATGTCCCGACTCAGCTAGGCAAGACGACGCATCAGTATACTAGTCAGACGGCCCGGAAAGCGATATCCTATCCCGCCGCCATAGAGTCGCATGACTTACTGAACGCAGCAGTATCCGGGACGTACATCCGGAATATGTCCCATTCCGGGTTCATGATCTCCTCGAACCCCTCGAGGTTGGGGAAGAAGGTGCCCCAGAACTGATGGCGACGGTATTCCCCGTCCGTGATGGCATGGTATCCGAGGTCTAGCTGGAGCTTGATGATGTCATCGATGGCCTTGTCCTCGATGGCACGGAGCTCATCGTTCTTGACTATATCAACCGCCTTTACATTGTCGAGCTCGACTCGCTTCTCGCTCAACGCAGCCGGACGGAGGAGAGATCCCAGATGTTCCGCACGGAAAGGCGGCTGCCGCTTGTTTTCCGGCATTGTCACTCAGGGAGCGTATACCTCCGAAGATGAAGGAGCACACAGCTTGGTGTCCGGCTAGACTAAGTCCAGAGTCCGCGTGAGAGCTAAGGGTGACAACAACGACAGTACCTACCTACTTTACCTGCTAAATAGCGAAGGGTAGCAGTCCAAGATTTCAAAAATATGAGAAAGGGTAGGAAGAAAGACTACCTAGACGTCATCCCGTTTATCTACTTCGGCTTCCCCCCCATTGCCAAGTTGAAGCGGGGACACTGTGTCCCGAGAGCGGAAATAGCCATGGGACGGCGTTCATAAGGGGAAGAAATGGAAGAAGGGGTATCATGACTTCCTGTCTTGGAGTAAAGATGGGGAACGAGGGGGGGGGGGGGGGATGCGATGGGAACCGCTCGTCCATACCACCGACCAGGAGTCGTTGTAGGCAACAGAACGGAGGAAGGGGGCTGGCTGGTAGGTAGTTTACTACATCCAGGATAGCGTAACTCTGGTCTCTCGGCTTATGAGGCGGCTACGACGTCCCTGGCATAACTAGACTGGAGAAAAGCAATGGACGTATCCGCATTCTGACGCGAATCACCCATTGCCGTGTCTGTTGGTCCGTAGAGTCAGGTAATTCCCCCTCAGCGGCCTTTCTCAGCAACCCTGTAGTGCCTTGGTATCCCTGCTCACCCCGCCTTTGTCAATGCTGACTTAGATCGCACATATTTCTGAATAGGGCGAGCGCTCAGGACAGAGCAGGGAGAAGCATCAAGTAGGTAATAAGTGAAACGCATGCTATACGCATGCGTGTTATCGTCTTCAGCGGTCATTTGACCTGGAGATTCAATGTTCTGCTTACTGGTTCAATTTCGGAGCGTGAAAACTCATCCCGTGCCATGCGAGATCTCTTCGGGGCAACGCGTGCGTGGGGGATTGGAGGGCATTGAGAAGGGGAAAAGATGGGAATAAGAGTATATGGGGCGTAGAGTCAGCAAAGTCGCGAGTAGGGGAAGGGAGAGTTCCCATTGTGTAGAAGCAGGCTATCTACCTCCTTCAAAATCTACACGCACGCATGAGAACAGCGTCAACCCACGACGCTACGCATTCCCCCCCCAAGAAAGAATATCCCGTCGAATCCCACACATCCCTACTCTCCCTGTATTGTAGAACTACTACGTAGTAAGGTGGCATACTCGTACACGCAAGCGGCACCCATGTGTTAAGCAACATTCATGAAATTCTATCCGCAAAACGAAATGAATAGGCGCGCCGATGCGGACACGCTGCCTCAGCCAAACAAGACATCGGTCCTGATATGGGAGGGCAAATTCTCGTCAAAATCCCCAGTGTGCTCTGGTGGCTGAGCTCGTACGGCCAGACCTTATCGAAGCTCACGGCATCGAGAATCACATGAGCCGACCTCAGTCCATAGCGTCACGGTACCATGGCATCCATTCTGGTTTTATCAAGTTGCTCCCACCTTGCGTCTCACGGAGCAATGCTGGTGTTAGTGTACTTGCGAAGTCTCGATGTGTCATTTCATCCCCTGTTGTTATGTCTTTTGTCATTGGAGAGTCTGTAGAAGTTCACACGATCCGGATATCTTCCATCTCAAATCTCGCGGGGTCGACTCTAACACTATAGGATGTAGCCATCCCGACCCTCCGGTACGATCCGTCGTCGCGCTTATCGAGGACGAGCAAATACCAACTATCATTTGATCTAGCCATGATCATGACCCAGCATATCCGTGACGACTGGCGATCTAGATCCATCACGCACCCCCCTAGTATGGCCGTCTCGTCGTCGCAAGTGTCGTCTTGTCCGAACGTCAACATTCCAACATCGGAGCGAGGTCCTACAGAAGGTTTGAGGTAAGTCATTTGTGCAACGGCCCCCCTTAGCCTCAAGGTCCCTTCCGGGAAGGCTTCTGTGAGCACGTTATCACCTATACCCATTTCGACTTCTAGCACCTCGGCAATAAACCCGTTGATTCGAAGCGCCCAAAAGTCGATCTGGCCGTCGAGAGCCGCCCAACTCCAACTCGGCGCACGTTTCGCGGGTGGCCTGGAGAGTTCGACGATCGTGTCGGTTGGACTGATGCCCCAGACTTTCCGACCGGGCATATGATCGTAATGAGCCCCCCAAAGGAGCCCCCGCGCGATGTCTTCCTTCCACAAGCCGGCAACGTATGTCGCAGCTGGCTTCGTGGACTTGAAAAGGGAGGCCGCTCCAGCCAGGGCGGGTAGCTTATCTGAAAAGACTGTGAAATTCCTCGTCGTGTACTCTTCCAGCAACTGATACCAGGCCTGCCACTGCAGCTCATTCGCCTGGGCAGCGGAAGTACCTATGTGCTTCCTGATGGCCATAAATTTTGCCATGACGTGCCCGCTTGATTCACCAGAGAAATTCATACCGTCTTCGCACTTAAAATCACTATAGCATTCCCAAAACATCTGTTCTCCCCCGAAATGAAGTATGTGCGGTGCCAGCAGTCTCTCCTGCATGCACCAGCCACGCTGGACAAGGGGACACTGTAGGAGGTAATCATAAAGGTCCGGGAACACCTTCTGGACGGCGTAATGATCGTTGAGGATAGCCAGAGGTACTCGGTTGGGCTTCAAGAACCCGGCGGTACTAACGGTAGAATCAAGCGCAGATATCACTACCGACGCGCCAGCGTAGACGGTTCCCATCTTACCAGCTTCCCTGAGCCAATCTGCTTTCGAGTCCTGGATAATGCACAGGGCATCTATCCACAGGTATCGTATCCCGAGGGCACGAGCGACCTCGATGGCGTCTCGGAAGTTGCGCGGAAGATCGTCTTCGTTCATCGCAGCGAACCTCGCCATCTTGTTTGCTAGGGTCGTAACGGAGGGGATCACGCCGCCCCAACAGTGGCTAAGAGCAACGTACGGCGCCTCCTCGCCACGCGATTCATATAGACGGATCGGGACAGCCTTATCCTCACCCAAGTCGATCACCCTTGTGGGAAGCTCATGTCTATATGCATTCTGGGCGCACGCTGGGTGAGCGGTTAGGCATTCCTGCTGCCACCTCGTCACCTTTCGGGCGATCTCCGGCGGGGAAAGCGTTGACGGTATCGCAGGCGACGCTTTGTAAGCATCAAAGAAAGGGATCTCCTCGCCTTCGCTTGGAGGTCCACGCCGGCAGACTTTAAAGCTATGTAGTGGGATGCTCCCGATGCGACCACCTCCCTCGGGCATCCTAGACAGCCCCCCACGAAAACCGGCACGAAAGCGTCCCTTGTGCTTGTTCTCTCCTATCCTACCCATGACCCAGAAAGGGTACAGGCCTAACCAGCCCTGGCACAGGTCCGAGTCCAGAGACCCGAGGTCGGCGTAGAGGACATGGCAGAACTCGCACGTATTAGAGCTTTCCGAGAGGCTGTCGAGGGTTTCGTGGTGCCGGAAGCCATCGCCCCAGGCGTACTCTGTCCAGGAATCTGGACTGATCGGTTGCCAGCGCGCCGGGTAGACGGTTTGGGGTTCGAAATCGAAGGCGAAGAGGTCGCAGACAAATTGGCAACAGAGTTCACAGAGTGTCCCCTTGATAGCAAGGGGCGCCTGGCCCATCTTCTCGATGAGAGGTGAGAACGGCACCTTTCTGAGACGGGTGGTCTACGAGAGAGATCTCGATTCTGGGTGTAGTTACCCGAGCGCTCGCTTATCGGGTAGGTACATACGTGTACCTACCTACATGCCTAGGTAGATAGCTACTAAAGAGAGAGGGGCAAATCGACAGTAAATCTATAATAATGACACGGTATTGCGGTGGTGCAGTAGGACTAGCCTTGGTAGAATTTACTATATATAGGTATTTATCTTATTTAAAAGATAACAATAAGATATAAGACCTTAATAATAAAGGTTTCTTACTTAATTATAGTTATTTTTATATTAATCAACCTTATTACAATAAAGTTTATATAATTAGGTGCTTAAAATTAATTATCTAGTTATATGTACTTTTTTTCTCTTGGCCTCCAGAGAGGCACCTATGTTTTCGAGGTAGGTACCTATGCAGCAAAAACGTAGGTAGGTAATGGGGAAGCGCAGAGCGTAGTGAAGGTACTATGCATAGGTACCTATATGTACACATTCTATACTGCCGCTCCGCGCGGATTGGCGTTAGGCACATTTCATGTTGGAGGAAGTCAGGCAGGTACCCCTCCTACCTAACCTTTACCTGCTGAGGTACCTGAGGCAGGTAGGTAGGGACAGATCAGTAGGTTACTTAACGAAGGATAGGTTCGATTCCTAACGGCGCTACTTGGTAGTCTTCGCTACTTATCTAGCCTGCCTGCTATGTACATATCCGGATGGACCCTTAAATGCCCCTCGTCCCGCTTCGTTCGTCCCACCTCCCCAACCTCATCTCGCATTACTGCGGAAACTTGCGATCGGTTGAAACTGGACGGGTTGCCTTACGGGGGAAGGCTACAACGTTCAGAAAAGGCGTGATTGTCGCTGACAAACACATGGGCGTGAGCGGCGACCCTTGTGGCATAGTCGGTGTGTGCACAGTTACCCCGTTTGAAAACTTGGAACGGGTGGTCTATGTCGTCGTGGGCATCACCGGCGGCATCAGCAATCCGAGGCCTGCCGTTCCGTTCATCGTTCCTATTCGGCAAGGCTACGGTTGGTACCTAACGTCTAAGGCAGCTCGTGAATCGAAGCCTAGGGTACGAGAGATTGTTGGTCCGTCTCTAGATCTAACCTGATAGACACCTAGATGGGCTAGAAGACGGGCATGATCACCGTCGAATATTCCTTTCAACCCCCTCTACAATTTCCATTCATTAGGCACTATGGATCGTGTGCCTCCGGAGCTGCTTTTGCACGTATTCCAATTCCTGGACACCCGTGCTCCATCCCAGGAGCGGCTTCACGAGCAGCCGAACAATGATATGCTGGATATCCCGTCTATAGTCATCCGGACGCTCAAGACCGTCTCCCTCGTCCGCAAATCGTGGCGGATCCTGGTCCTCCCTATCCTATTCCGCCACATTCTATGGAGGCCCAAGATATCCTCTCTTAGTGCCTTCACACTCAATCCCATACCCCTACTTCGGTTTCTAGAGGATCACCAGCTGGACCGCGCCGTCGCCACCTTCACCATGGTGGTAGATTTCGTCGATAAGGAAGCCAATGCTCGGCGGATGACGCCGGAGATACGCTCTGTCGATCTCGAGTGGCTATGGGACCAGCTCTTTGGCGTTATCGATCCGCTGCGATTTACTATCATCGCTCCTCCAACTACTCTCGCCGCATTCATGTCCCGGATGCTCTTCCTGGATGACGCATGGTCGTTTAGTATACCTTACCATATTCTCTCATTGGCCCGCGCTATAAGAGGTGATTGCCATGAAGGCCCTCTGGATGGGTTAGGAGAGGCATCTCCACCAAATCCTCAAATCCCACCACCAGATACTACAAGAGCGTCCCAATCGACGGCTCTGGCTGCTGCTTCGAGTACCTCTCTTGCAACCCGGCTTAGGAGACCGCCAGCCTGTCATCTGTTCACCATCCGCCCTTGGACCTCGATACTCCTCAACGAAGGCTCGTCGACCCGAGTCTATCGGACATACGAGTTCTTCCACCGGCGGCCGCCGTCCATGCTCGGAGCGCTGCTCGGATGTGAAGAGTACCCGAACGACGTGCCACTCATCCCGCCAACTATCGTTGACTTCAACTACATCGCCATCTTTCCGCTATCGTCACATGTTGACGTCTTGCTGCAGCACCTGCCGCGGCTGAGGCGCCTCTTCATACAGCTAACGCCGCGGCCTGGCAACCAAATTCTTCAGGATGGGGATGAGATGCGGCACATCGACTTGGCTGACATGTGGATGGAGCGCGACAACGTGTACAACGCTCTCGTGGAGGAAATCTTGTTTGCCGGCGCCGCGCCGGCCCTCGCAATCTTGCCGCACGGCTCGCGCAATTGGGCGACGCTGCGCGTGTTTGAGTGCGGCGACGTCGCTGATCGTAGCGCGTGGGATCAGGCCACGGAGATCATCGAGGAGAGCGGCGTCAAGGGGTGGAAGGTCGGACGGGAGGGCGTCCTCGTCAATGTTGGCGATAAAGGAGACTTCCCCATTGTGGATCGAGAAATAGATGGCCACGCCAGCCCTCGGAACCTCCCCGGATAACGGCTATTTCCGGCGTAATGGAATCTCTTCCTTTTTCTTGACCTGCCGGGTGGATGCGAGCGTCATGTCTCACCTCTTCTCATGTCTGCGTGCGATTCGCCGCATCTAGCTCAACCCTGAGAAACTACAACGACTCTCTTATCATCGACGTGGCCTGCTCACGCGATGGCTAACCAAACGCTCGGAAACACTTCAACTTCAAGGGCGTGAACTGGCTTAGCAATCTCGATCAAGTGCGAGGCCACACAGTTCTACCCGCCTACATACCTAGTTAAATGTCTATCTGTGGAAAAGCCGCTAGTCGGCGAGGGGGCCGATGGTTCGGAGAAGGGGAGGGGAGGGTGGCTACAACCCGGCTCCAGTCAAGGCATATGTAAATACGTGGGGAGGCATTCCGAGCGATAGGTAACGGGTGCCGAAGGTATTGGCTAGGGATTCTACCGTGTATCGGTGTTGAAATGGAGAAATATGCTCGAGAATTGGGATCCTCCCACGAATTACAAATACACCAAATCGAAATAGGGACTCTCTCTAGCTTGAAAACCCCCCGAGATGCCAAACGCGTGAAATCAGATTCCGATAACCACCTATAGGTCTGGATAGAACGTAGGTGCTACTAACAATATGCATCTAATACCGAAGGATAAGTAGACATATGCCCGGTAGCATTGGAATCTTATGCAGAGCTTCCATGCATGTACGTGAACCACTGTTCTAAACCCCTCGTCTCTCTCATCTAAGTGTCTGTTTGCAGGGTCGCGACTATTCGCCTTATTGAGTAAGTACAAGGCGTTTCTACAGCCTGCTGGGTAGCTCCCGGAGCGAAATATCAAAGCCTGGTGCGCCGCCGCCGCCGCCGTGGTGTAGCCGCATTAATAATAGCCTTGCAACCACCCGTAAACCGCCATCCATGGCTATAGGCTGCGATGTAGGAAAATTTGCCAGATATACCCAATGCTTATGTAGCCGGGTCGATAGACGGACATATTCAACCCTCCTCCTCCCTGATATAAGGCGGCATCATTCTATACTTGTGTGACGCCAAAGTCACTTCTCGCGTCTATGTATGTACAAACCCGTCCCTGTCCTTGCCGCCATCGACGCCGTACCCTTGTCCGGGTATGAAGTATGTGATCCAAGAGGGGGAAAAAAAAGGAGAAAGGATGTGTAAAACCCTCTAGTGTCTAATGTTATCTAGTACAATGCTAAGGGTATAGTAGAGTGTGATAAGCACCGCCCAGCGACTACTTATCCGCGGCTAGATCGAAAACGAAGGGATACTTAACGGGGGTGGGAAGATAAAATATGAAGGAGGAAGGGAGAGCGGCCGGGGAAAAGTGGACGTGATATGCTCGAGTCCAACGAGATCCCGATCTTCGCTAGTTAATCGAGTCGGTCGTCGTCCTTGTCGTCGTCATCGCTGCTCCAGTCGGCCGCGCCCACAGGGCCATCGGCAATAACAGTCTTGCGCTCGGCGTCCTCGGCCATCTCGCGCCAAGTGCTCCAGCTTAGCATGAGGAAGGCGACGACGATCATGCAGCCTCCTGTGACCGTGGCGCTGCCCATCGACTGGCCCGTGAGCAGCCAATCGACGACGGCAACGATGAAGATGGTCAGCAGCGCCGCGACGGAGCTGAGCACTGGTGAGGTTAGCGAGATCATCACAAGGAAACTGCCCGCGAACGTCGCGTTCATGACGATGCTGATGATGAGGTAGAAAGCAGCGGCACCCGTCGGTATTTCGAATGTCTCCCAGCCCAAAACATGGAGCACCGGCAGTGGCACCCACAGCACGAGCAGTGTGAACAGGCCGATGCAGGTTCCGAACGCGTTGGCGAAGATCATGCCGCGTGTCGCCGAGGTACCCTCCGGCGGGCACGCCCACCGCTTGTACATGACCTCGTAAAGACCATACAGCACGCTGCCGGCGCCGATGATCATGTTTCCGAGGAAGCGGGTAGAAGCGGCGTTGTCGCTAGAGCCATCCCCTCCCGCAGCCGCCGGGCCGCTCGGGTCCCCGTACGCTACGACCAACACGCCGGCGATGGCAATGAGGACAGATATTGACTTGTCGAGACGTAGCTTCTCCTTTAGCAACGGCACACTAAATGCGTAGGCAAAGAAGGCGGAGCAGTTGTAGATGGCGGTCAAGTCGCTCGGGGTGGTCATGCTAACGGCGACGTACCAACTGAGGCCGGCGACGGTTAGAGAGGTGGTTATGAAGGCAGTGGTCCGGATCATGTAGGGCAAGGGGCTGCGCTGTATGACATGTCGCGGGATGTCCGTCTCCTGCTGGGCGACCATGTGCGCAGTCGAGCGCAGCAAGTACAGGTGTCTCCGCCAGAAGGTCGGCCACGGCACGTCTCGCTTCTGTATGCGCAGTATCACAAGTTGTACGGGCCACAGTAGGGCCCAGGATCCGTGTGTGAGATAAAGCATGCAGTACGCCTTATCCCAACCCAGCTCGTGTTGCACATACCGGCCGAGCTCAGTCTGGATGCAGAAGGAAACGAGCGATACGACGAGGAAGACGGCGGCGTAAGTATACTTTTTGCGGACGGCCATGCGCGCCTGCGTGTCGGGGGATAGAGACCGTACGGTCGACCGGGGCGTGTAGGGAGACTGGATGGTAGCAGGACTGGAGATGGGGAGAGACATAGGCGTCGCGGGTAGGGAGCCGCTGTATCGTGACCTCCCACGGTCTTCGTCGGCTATTTTCTTGAGGAGCGGCGTGACGGCGCGGCCGTCGGCCGGGCGGAGGAAGGCTGGCCGCTTGTTCCCCGACATAGCGGTCTCGTCGTCGTCAGAGTCGGATTCGGACGCGCGGAATTCAGCGGCTCGGCTACTGAGGCGGTGGTCTTCCTGGACGAAAGACAGGCGCCTATCAAATACGGGCGTTCTCCCTCCCACGGTATCGGTACCGCTGCCGATGTAGTCTTCTATACTCGATCCGTAGGAACTTGCGGATAGGGGTGACGGCTCGGCCTTCGAATACTGGTACGTCGGTTGCAAGCGAGCCGGGATGCTGGAGAGCCGTATATTGTTGCCGTTGGCGGGGTTGGCGGTGGTGGTGTCGTGCGAAGGCATTTAAGAAGAATTGTGAATTGGGAAAAAAGGGGGAAAAAGAAAAGAAAAGGAAAAGGAAAAGAAAAGATAAAGTAATCGGGATGAGACGAAACCGTAGGAATAATACAGGCTGGGTGAATAAAGAAGAAGCGCCCTAAGAATTGGGAAGACGGTTACCCAGGAGGTAATGCTGTGCTTGGTGCCGTGCTTGGGTTAGGCATGTGCTTCGGATTGGATGGGATCTTACGTAGACATGCAGACACAGGTGCGGAAAATACTCAGGTCGCGTGCGTGGTAGGGAGCGACGGCGAGGAGACTTGGGGTTGGATCGGGATGCCTATTCGTTCGGATGGAGGGCGGCGGATTCTGTGGGTGTGAAGGTATACACAGGACGCAGGTCGGGAGGGAGGGATGCAAGACAGATTGGATTGTCGTTGGCGATCATCAATTTGAAGCATGGGTTATGAACCGTAGGTTAGGCATCTTGGGACTACGGTAGTACGTAGCCGGCACTTCCTCCACTTGATGTAATGATGCGTGCACCTACGCGTACATGTATGCATTACCTAATACGTCTGGTCCATGGCCCTGGGCCTGCCCCCTTTCGTATCATGGATATCAGACGATGTAGGTACCTACACAGTACACCCTCCTACTCTATTATATCTTGGGTAGCTAGGTATCTCTACGTACCGGTAGGCAGGTGACCTCAGGTCCCCAAAGCTAGGAGGTTTTAGGTATGGAAAAGTACCTAAGGTGCCGTGATCCGCCATAGGGGAGGTCAGGTGAGGGGCTAGGTGCATTAGGACCTAGCACTTACATAGATAGGTACCTAATGTACCTACTACGGGTAGGCCACCCTATATTAGGTACATCCTTCACCTCCCTACCTTAGGAGGTAGATTCGACGCGGTCGTGCTACCATCCCTTGTTCCAATCAATCGGCCATACGTGGTTTGTATAGTACCTTACCTACATCCTGCATCTTCAGACATTCTCTCTTGGCTGGATTGCCAGCCACAAATTTCTCACGCACGCACGCCCTAGGTCAGGTCCCTACTCAACGTACCTAATCGGCGCCACTCCCATACACAGGTAGGTAACCCCCCTATCTTACCTGTCGTGTTGCACAACTTGCCTGGCAAATGCGCCTTTCTTCCACGTCTCACTCGTCGTGTGTTTATCCTCAAGCATCACCGTCCCTCGCCTCGCCATTTCTCGCTCCCCGTAAACGGCCTAGATTGGGAATATTAACCATATTTGCTTCGTGTACGTACATCTTACGAACCCTCCAAGGTCCCCGACGTTCACTTCGCCCCAGGCCCAAACAGTGCCGCCCGTGTGTCGTATGTGTACACGAGATCCTTGTGCCAGTAGTTGGGCGCATCCGGCTGCGCGATCTTCCACGCCTCATCTAGCGCCTGCAAAACGTCCTCCGGTAGCGGTCCCTTCTCCAGATTATCCAGGTTGCTCACGAGCTGGTCGTGTGAGCTGACCCCGATGAGGATCCCGTCGGTACCGCCCTTGATCTTCAACTTACTGTGGTGTACCACCCACCGCAGCGCTACTTCGACCAAGCTCAGCTCTGGGTGCTTTTCCACGGCCCGCTCCGCCGTCTGCAGTGCCTTGAACGTGCTCTCCTTGAAGTACCGGCGGCGGTAGTTGGCACCCGTGCTGCTCTTGGTGCTGAAGCGGCCCTCCGCCGGGTCGATGTCCACGCTCTTGATCTTGCCGCTGAAGAGACCGCCTGCGATCGGGTTATACACCACGATATCCAGTCCATAGCGGCGACAGGTCGGTATCAGCTCCGCCTCGATGCCCCTCGTGATGGCGTTGTACATCCCCTGGTAGACAGTCGGGCGTACCCAGCCGTTGTACTTGCACGTCAGCACAACCTCGGCCACCTCGGCGGCCGTAAAGTTAGAGATGCCGAATTGCACGAACTTGCCCGCCTTGTGGAGCTTGTCTACGGCCTCGAGAGTCTCGGCAAAGGGTGTCGCGCGGTCGGCTGCGTGGAGGTAGATGATCTATGCGGCTCCTCCGTCAGCATCGGTTCCTTACCAATTCCCCGGGTCGGGTTGAAGGTAGATATCGTCACTCACGTCCACGGACTCCGTACCCAACTCCTTGAGGCTTGTCTCGAGACTCTCGACTACCTTTGCCGCCTGGTACGTGCCGGCTTCGGCGGGATACTTGAACTTGGTGGCCAAGGTCAATCCACGCTCCTTCCATTTGGTCTCACGCGTGAAGGCCTCTTGCTGCCCGTCGATGTAGACCCGCGCAGTATCGACCTCGTTGTAGCCGCGAGCTTGGAAGGTGTCTAGGCACCGGTTGAATTCGCTGACGTCGGTGATGCGGGCGCCGGCGCTAGCATCAGGTCCAAAGGTCATCAGACCCAGGATGATGCGGTCTCGGGGTGCCGAAGCTATCAGAGGCATGTCGAATAGGCTTCTGTCTTCGTGTCTAGAAACGTTGGGATACTTTGTTCGAGGGCGCGCAGGAGGAGCAGAGGCAAGGAGGGAAGCGGTGTTCGTCTGTCAATAACCGCCACGGGTGCAAAATCTGTAAGCGGAAGCCAGGACACAGAGGGAGGGGGAGACGGGCGAGCACAGGTAGGCAGGTAGGTAAGTAAGATCCTTGGACTTGGGCCGGAGACATGCATCCATTCCTGCATGTACATACCTACATTACCTAAGGCACTTACTTGTAGGTACCTAGGTACCTACTCGAGGTCCTTTATACTCCAGGTAGGTACTTGCTTATCAGAGTGATGCTAAAGTCGGATCTTGGACGGCGTCGACGCGATGAATGGCACCGAGGACGGTGTTTTCTGCCATCCCGACCCCGGCGGCAGGGCGGGGTAGCCCATCGGCCATCCGGTGATGTGTTTTTAATACATAGATTCTGTTATTACATACAGACGCGCATATACAGTGTATCTCCGTGCACGCAACTGTCACTCATACCTACCAAGGTTCCAGTTCTATCGGCATACGCCACATAGGGAAAAGTTGGAGCTGAAGACCATGTACTGAGTACCCCTTACCTCCCCGCCCCGGTTCCGCAGAACGGTATACCCAGCCGCCATTGAGGGGTAATGGCAAAGACGCGCGAGATATGGGAAGAGGGATGACGCTACGACTAGAAAACATAAGACTAGTTTGTTATGTCGTCATGCGCACTAGCGATGTGGTGCAGCGCCGGGCTCTAACGAGAGAAGTGCTCGCCTCTACCTAACCTACCTCTACACGCAAGTATGTAGGTAGGTGAGTACCTAAGGTCCTTCGGCCGGTTAGGAGATTATCAAGTTGGGGTTTTCCCGATTGGGACGAATCTGCCCCCGTGATTGGATTAGAAACTCAGATTAGTCAATACGTTGATACATAGCCCTATCCAGCCCGGCCAACTACCAATTCGACGGACACCGCCTACAAACATAGGCGTAGATCGCCTAAACTGCCTCCTGACCTCCTATGTGCCAGTTCCTTGGGTGCCTAACATACTGATAGTTATACCTAGGTACCTACCTACCTAAACCTCCTAAAGTACCTATACGTAGTAGTAGAGGTAGGTACCTAACCTAAGGGATGCGTCACTTTGCTGCGCCCTTGCTGAAGAGAAAATGTACCATCTCGCCCCCCCCATCGTTGATCGCCCACCTCAACGGTGTCCGTCCTTCGGCATCTCTCGCGTTGATAGGGGATCCCGCCCGCAAAAGCACCTCCAGGATAGCCGGGTCCCTCCCCATAGCCGCGATGTGTATCGGCAGGGCGTCGCAATAACTCGGCGATGGCAATGAGACGTCGGCGTCCCGTGCCAGGAGAAGCTCGAGAAGCGACAGGTTAGACTTGGAAGTTGCTTGGCATAGAGGCGTTTCGCCTTTGGTGACTAGGTTCACATCGGCCCCGGCCTCTAGCAAGGCTTCAGCAACTTCGCCGCATCCCTGAGAGATGGCGTAGCGAAGGGCCGTCTGCCCACTCCTGTCCTTCTTATCGACGACGGCGCCGCGATCGCACATCAACTTCGTCAACACCGCACTCCCCTGAACGACGGCCCCGAATAACGGCGTCCAGCCATTGCTGTCGGTAGTCTCAAGGTTCGCGCCATAATCTAGTAACATCTGGGCACACTGGAGCCGTCCGAATGAGATCGCCTCGTGCAGCGGTGTACGTCCCCTCCTGTTCCTCAGGCTCTGGTCAGCACCGTGGACTACCAAGACCTGGATGGTGTCAAGGTTTGCCGTCTCGTCCGAGAGGGCCCGAGTCGCCGCGTGGTGGAGTGCAGTATTCTTCTGCCTGTCTCTGGCGTTTGCCGACGAGCCAAATTCCAACATTAAGGAGACCAAGAAGCTAGGCATCTCGTTCATGGCGGCGCGGATGAGAGGAGTTCGGCCATGCTCATCTAGCTCGTGGAGATCGGCGCCTGCGATGACCAGATCCGTCACAATGGATGTCGACGCCCGCGCGGCCGCAACATTATCGCAAGCCAGCGACGCCTCTACCGTATCCAGGGCCTGGTGAACCGGAGACGTTCCGACCTGTTCCAGTTGGGCGTTGGGATCGACTTTCATCGCAAGGCATTTGTGTACGACGGTGCGGTCACACTTGATGATGGCGTTGCGTAGCCTGCGAATAAGCTTCGGGTCCCTCTCACCAGGGCGCGTACCCTTAGGTCGATACTTGACTAGGAGGTGCCGTACGTCATGTCGATCGGAGAGTTTGGGCGGCTCGATAGTCAACACGGGCTCTAGCTTGGACGACCCTAGCTTACCGGACGGTAGCTGCGTAAGCGAGGTCTCCTCGAGAAGCTGAATGGTCGCCCCTAGTAGATTCCCACTGAAAACTCGCGCTGGTCAGACCCCCCGATTTCGATTGGGGTGTGATCAAAGACAAGACCTACACCACACTTACCTCTGGAGACAATCGAGCACAAGACAGAGCGAAGAACGCTTCCTACGCAAGTCGATCTTAGCATCTATAAAGACGTCGCGCAAGGCTGGTACGTATTTTGCCGATGCAAGAGGGTCCCCCGAGGTGGAATACCGCCGCAGGCGCTTGATCTCGTAGTTGACGTCGAGGAGGATCTTGGAAATGGAGTGGACCAAGACTTCAAAACAAGCCTCGAGTTTCTCAGGTGGTCTGCCATCCGCCTCCAATGCCGTACGGAGGTCGTCCGAGTCCCAAGTGGCTAAGATATTCTGCACCCTCCGGAGGACAGTCTTTGTCGCCAGGCACTCGGCAGCCATCGACCGGATGCCGATCTGTGGCGTGGTAACCCCCTTCCCTAGGTTAGTAACGGCATTGGCTACGGACTCGCAGGCATGCCCGACGCCGTCTACGAGCGACCTGAGAGGGATAGACTCGGTTGTCATCGTGGTGGACACGCTCCCAGAGCAGGAAACGGGGTCCTGGAGAGGTTATGATGGGATGGGGGTTAGTACGGTTGGTACATAGAACGGCGATACCTAGAAACTTGGGGCACAAAAAGAGGCAGGAGAGACGTACGACAACAGATAGGAACGGAGGAGATGATTACCACCTATATGTATCTGCTGACTACAGAGCTACCCTGAGAGTGTCGTGTACGATAGGCATCCTCGCCATGGGTCGAACGGGATGCCCCTGAGCCGGTTAACCTCTGCACTGTTGATTTTAATCCGCTTGAACGTGAGCTCTGCCCGTAAGACGGAATTGCCAAGCAGCCACACCGTGACCACCCCACGAGTCGCCAACAATCGGCCATACTACGATCCTCTCCCCCGACGTTTTGCTTGTTGTAGACACGGTAACAGCTCATCTACCTGGGATAGACCCATGAGAGGAATCATGATTAATATGTCGTGCCAACGGGCCGGAAGCCGTGGACGAATGGGTGTTTAGAACGGTATACTGGCGAGGTTGGTCGGAAGAAGCAAATGCGTAGAATCGAGCACCAACAGCGACGCCACGGGGAAGGGTTGATAATTGAGCAGATACATTGGGTACGACATCTTGGGTCTGCGTCCTCTATAAGAGAGCACCTCTGGCGCCCCCAGGAATGTGTAGGCAGACTAAGTACTTAGGTAGGTGCCCGTGTTGTGTTGAGGATAGACGGCGATTTGAAAGCGGGTCGCACTCTGTTGACAGAGTTCCTTGCGGAAGGTGGTGGTGATGGGAGACGAGGGATGAGGAGGATCGCGAGATGATGTGATCAAAAAGAAGAAGAAAAAAAAAACACCCCAGAAAAAAAAAGAAAAAAGGAATCTATCACGTGAAGGAAAAAGGGAAGATCCAAAGGGAGGAGCGGAGCTAGAACCATGTAAGGTCTAATTTACGCGTGTCGGGGTAACCGCGTCGTCCCACGCCGCCATGTGTCGTTTTCGAATGGCATTTCGCGTCGCCGCGTCCGTCCGGGTCGCGGCTTTTCTTGACCCAGCTCGTTATGATTATTAGCCTCGAGACTTTTCCCAACTCCCCTTCGACCACGCCCCCCGTCCGGAAAAAAAAAAAAACACCACCACTACCACTACAATTATCACCGATTCCTGTCTTCATTACTACCGATACCTACTATTACTTTTCTCTGCTTCCATCACACGCCCTTCCAATGCTGCGCGCCGAACCTCCACGCATATCTACATTACCTTAGGTACCTCTCACCCTCACATCCCTCCCCCGGGTCCGCCCAATCAACCCGGTCCATTCGCGGGTCCATTCGCAGGTCTATTCGGTCCATTGATCAAGCGTACAATAATACGACCAGCATCCAACGTACCCCCTTCTATCTACTCCTCGCCTCCCTCCCTATCGTCTTGTGCGAATCGAATTACCCTTGCCATGTTGTAAATGCGCGCCGCCCATAGCTAGCTAATGCGAAACACATCGTCCATACCATTCCCCCCCTCCTGCGCCGCTCCCTGCGATATCCGAACTAGCACTTCGATCTGGCCTCCGTTGGGCGCAAGCAGCCAACATGGTGAAAGAAGCTGCCGGTCCCGGCATCTACAGTGCTACTTATAGCGGTGTAAGCAACTTGTCCTCTTTTCTCTCTTCTTCGCGCCTTCTCCTCCAATCGTAATAGCCATGCTGGCGAGGAACCGAATATGTATATCGAGAGGGGGAACTGACCGGAGAGCCTGGATCACAGATACCGGTATACGAGTACCAATTCGGCACCGATTTGAAGGAGCATGTCATGCGCCGGAGGCAAGACAATTGGATCAACGCCACACACATCTTGAAGGCTGCGGGATTTGATAAACCTGCACGAACTCGCATCCTCGAGCGTGAGGTCCAGAAGGACGTCCACGAGAAGATTCAAGGCGGCTACGGCAAATACCAGGGCACCTGGATTCCTCTAGAAGCCGGCGAGCAGCTTGCGCACAGAAACAACGTCTACGAACGCCTACGACCCATCTTCGAATTCACCCCCGGGACCCAGAGCCCCCCGCCTGCCCCGAGACACGCGAGCAAGCCGAAGGCCCCTAGAAAGCCTGCAGTGCCGAAATGGAGTAAGCAAAAACTGGGCGGCATCCGAATATATATATGTACATATGATATGTGGTTGCTAATATGTTATATACAGGCGCCCCGCCGGTTGTGGACCACGAGAACGCAAGTCAGCAGCTGAACGAGGACGACACCCCAGATAACGTAACCGTTGCCTCGGTCTCGTACATGGCAGAGGAGGACCGCCATGATCTGCCTCACTACTCGACCGGGCATCGCAAGAGAAAACGCGAAGAGGCCATACAAGACCTCACAGAGCAACAGCATTCCGTCTACGGCGATGAGCTGCTAGACTACTTCCTGCTCTCACGTCAAGAAGCGCCCACGTTCCGGCCCGAGCCCCCCCCCAACTTCCAGCCCGACTGGCTGATCGACTCGGAAAGACACAGCGCCCTCCATTGGGCTAGCGCTATGGGTGATGTGGACGTAATAAAGCAATTGAAGCGATTCGGGGCGAGCCTGGGAGCCCAAAATTGTAGAGGCGAGACGCCCTTTATGCGATCCGTTAATTTCACCAATTGCTACGAGAAGCAGACCTTCCCGGCCGTGATGAAGGAATTATGGGACACCGTCGGCGCGCGCGACGAGTCAGGTTCGACTGTCATCCATCATGCAGCCATCATGAAGAGCGGCCGGGTCACGAGCACCTCGTGCTGTCGCTACTATCTCGACAATATTCTAAATAAGCTTCAGGAGACGCACGACCCAAACTTCATGCAACACCTTATCGACGCCCGGGACCACGCGGGTAATACCGCACTACATTTGGCGGCGAAGACAAACGCCCGGAAATGCATCCGGGCTCTTCTGGGTAGAGGTGCCTCGACCAATATCCCCAACGCCGAGGGGATACGCGCTGAGGATCTAATTAAGGAACTGAATGCCACGAGGAACCCCAAGGAGCGGGTACCTCAACGGTCGTCGTCCCCGTTTGCCCCCGACACCCAGCGTCATGTTTCCTTCCGTGATGCCCTCACCGAATCTGTCACAAAGCTGGCTGTCACGTACAACTCGGAGGCAGCTAATACGGTTCAGAACAAGATCACCCCGCTTGTCCTAGAAAAGTTCCAAGATCTAGCGCACAGCTACGACGAAGAATGGAAGGAGAAGAACGAGGCCGAGGTCGAGGCCCGCCGCATCCTGGGAAACACTCAGAATGAGCTCGCATCTGTACGCCAGCAGGTGGCCCACTTTGAGGAGAATTTGGAACCGCAGGAGCTGGCCTCGCGGACTGCTAGCGATGCCACAGCATTACAACACAAGCTCCTCGCGTTGCTAGCTGCCCAGAGCCGATATCACGTGCAGATCGCCGTCGACAAGATCCTGCCCGCGACGAACGGCGACGGGGGCGATAGTGACCCGTACGAGAATCGACTCAAGCTCGCACAAGAGCTCAAGGAGCTTATTGCGGAGCAGGAACGCGCCGAGAAAGAGTACGTCGACGCTCTGGCTAGCTCGGGCACCAGCGAGAAGATTGACAAGTATCGGCGACTTCTGAGGCAATGTCTGGACCAGGAGGCGGCAGAGAACTTGGATGACCACCTGGATGACCTTATCGAGATGATGGAGGAGGAAAGAAGCGAGGGAGGCTCGGTCATACCCGAACAGGCGCCCGGCCAGGCTGAGCATATGATTGTCTGCTAATGTCAAAACGCGAGATACCGTGTCAGAGATTACGCGTGCCGTCTCGTGCCATGTTGATAAGCTAGACTAGGGCGTAGGCCACGGCTGACTGGCGGTAAAAGGATGCTCTTCCTGGGAGAAGGCGTGGATAGAGGGAAAGAGATACACGTACTACACGCCTCGCCTCATGCTTCATGAGCTCCGGAGAGATCGCCCCGCGCTTATTGTCGTCAATCTGTCTAGTTACCTACCTTTTCACAAACTTACCTATCAACATACCTATCTTCGTTCCCTATCGCAACGATTAAACCCCTTTTCCTCAACTCCCTTCCCCCCCGCATGTGGTTTGTGCACAGTTGTACACCGCTCTAGGATTTCATGCCGGCATGGAGCTGAACAGGCCGGAACGGGTAATCTAATGCGAGTTATCGTCGACTAAGAAGACCCTAACGAGAGGTTTCAGCTGGCTACGTGCATCTCACAACCCCCCGTCCCCCCCTCCTCAACCGCCTTGGTATATATAGATTTTCCGAACGTAAGAAAAGGGGAGGGGTGACAGACGTCAACTCGGCTTTTTGCTCCCAACCTGCCCAACTGGCTTGCTATTTATGACGTCATGGAATGAGTTTCCGAATAGTCGGTCATGTCACTCTCGCCGTGAGCTTAGTCGGGCCCGGTATGCAACGGAATTGCCATCGGCGACGATTTCGGGCTTGGCTAGGACGTGGTATCGAATTCTTTTTTGTGGTTTTTCTTTTTCTTTTTCTTGATTTCGAGCGGGCCCGACTTCGTCGTTACGCCCACGATATCTGCGCCTGAGCCTAGCTAGCTCCCCCATCGACGCGCCAATAGCCTCCATTCAGCACTTCGGCCGTCATGGGCTGGCATCATCTGCCTCGCAGATAACCGCCCCTCGCGCCAGCTAACAGTCTGAGCTGATCAGCGCCGTCTGCTCGACCAGCGCCGGTTCCTAGAGCCTCTTTCTTCGTTGTTCAGTAGTCCACCAACCGAGTTCAATATCCTCTGCAAGTTTGTCAGTGTCAGCCAGCCTCAGGTAAACGGTCCTCTTCCCTTCCCGTCTCTAACTGCAGTCCTAGTCTGTCTATCCACTCGCTCGACGCCCCAGCCGCCGCCCTCCCGCCTGACTATACCCTACGCCCCGTGTCGGACCCCACTATTCTCCGATCGTGAAGAAGAAGCGGATCAATAGAATGGGACAGAACGCAGCGCCCGAGACTTAGAATGTCGACAAAACCAGGCAACGTGGAGTAGCCGTATTAGCGGGGACACGTCATGCGAAGAATCTCTAGACAATGGCAACTAGCTGCTGCTGTGATCTGCACCCCGCGAGTACTACTATCATAACCGCCGCCACCACTGTCATCTCTTCTTCCTCTTTCCACACCTCCTTCGTCTTCCCTTCTCAGCCTCTCGACGCGGTCATCCCGGTATTCCCGACCCACCACCACGAGCACTCACCCACCTTCAGCCGTCGCGACGCCAATATTGTTAGAAGGGCGAGGGTGGATTTCACACAGGGGAAGCAGGGATTAAAGGTGGCGATCGCTGGCGGAGGTTCGCGCCGCGTTGGAAGAAAAGGAGAAATACAATCTGGTTCGCCACGACGGGGTCTTCGGGCACACACCCATACCAGGCTGAAATGTGACGTGACGTGGAGGGTGGTTATATGGCTTGGGCAAGCCGACCCGATCTCAGACGAAGACCACCTAAGGAGGGAAAGGAATGCGGCACTAGGTAGCCTTCTCTAGGAGCTCGACCCAGTTGGGGGAGCCGCCGGTCTACAGCGAAAGGGGCGTCCGCCGGGCCAAGGCAAGCCGGTTCTCAGCCCCTATTCCGCTGACTTGGTGCTGGAGCTTCCGTAGAGCTGGGTTATGCATGCCGTCGGCGCCATGTGGAGGTGACAGCACAGGTAAAACATGCGGGCACCGGCGGACAGCAGTACCACGGTAAATTCACTCGACAATTGACATATCGTGAATAAGTGCGCGCTAGTACATGTTTTCGCCCACGTAATAGTGATCGAGTCTTTTGGGAGTTCTACATAGACGCGCGGCTCTTCTTCTCAAGGCCGCCCAGGTAGCCTTCGCTTTCACAGAGGGCTCTGCAGGTCGGGTTCTAGACAGGATCAAGCCACGGTCCATTTCGAGAGATAGTGATAGAAACGGTGGAGACGATCAAGACATTATTATAAGCTAGTTATAGAGGACCGTCGTCTTGCTATAATTTGGCTGAGCGCCGGCTTATTCACCCCCAAGTAGGTAATTAGCATCGGCTGGGACAAGGCAAGCATTTTCTGCCAAGACAGTAGTTGATCTTTATTATTTAAAAGTTACTATTAACTCCCAGAGCGACTTTGTTCAGAGACTACACCCTCTTGACTGACACTTTGATTCATGCATGTCTCAAGACAAGTGATGGTTATGCTGCTCTGTTCGGACCTAACCAAGGAAGAGAGGCAGGCAATCCCCAACATTCCACAATAGGGCCTAGTCATGCTCATCCCTCACCCCCCGCTGCCGACTGCATGGGCCTACAACAATGTCGAGGCGTAAGTGCAAGGATTGCTCCTAACATGGCTTTCCGTATACGATTGCTCTCTAGATGGTCCCCACGATAGGCTATACATTCTACCGCTCAACCGCTATACTATACAAGCTAGGAATCCGAGTCTCCGAAAACCCAAGATATCTCCCTTTCTACCTGCATTCAAGTCTATGACGGGGCCGTGTTTTGCCGGAGAGTTGATCTCCCGCCCCGCCCCTTTTTGTGATGGCCACTAATGCTCTTAAACCTTCACGTCGACCCTAGTCAGACTCACCACGCCCATCGCTATATCATATATCAACGATCGCTATCGGTATTCTATCAAATCAAGTGCATGCTAAGATTCAGAGTCTGTCGCTGTGATGTCAGATCAGCGGCGACAATCTGCCACGGCACCTCGGACCTAGAGCCGCGGCGGTGCTCGGCCCTAGGTTGCCAGTCTTCCTGGCCCTCCCTAGGCTCGAGAGGGGTACCGCTAGTCCTCCACCTCTTAATCCCGCCCCCGAACCACCCGAGGTTCCAGGGACGGAGTATCCTATAGTAGCGATGAATACCAACCCTCAATCGTCTAGCCTCGGGATTCATACATATGTGCCTAGCTGTCAGCACACGCCTACGTGGTCTCTCTCAGAGGTCCCACAGGTTGGAGCATGGACGGCTTGGGGAGAATAAGCCCGGGTTTCACGCTTCGACAGCACGAGCCGGACGGCCTTTGGATCCAGAGACCGTCGTGGGGAAAGCAAGCACCTGTATGTTAGCTAGTGCCGTGCGCGTGCGGGTCGTTCAGACGCCGAGTAATCGACGTTCCCGGGGCCGTGAAATCTCAAGTTGGTCCTCGGGTGTAGATTACTGTACTGGCCCGGAACGCAGGCTCGCCCGCCCACTTAACTCACTCGATTACTTACTCATACACTCGCTCACACTCGCTCATACGCATAAAATGCGAGATATCCCGACATTTCGATATATGTGCCGCAACTGGTCCACGTCATCCAGCCCCCAAATCCGACTCATAAACACGGAGATATGAGCCGTCACTTTACGAGCGCTGAAAGAGCTACGAATACGATGCCGGCGGAGGGTGAAGACACGCTGCCGCGATAACATCGATATACCGGTGTCTCACAAGCGCTGTAGAGCCGTATTACGGACAACTGTCTTGCAGATTCACACAACTGTCAGTACAACCCAGATGCATGTCGTATAACGGTCTCTGATAAAGGGGGGGGCTATTTCATTCCAATCTGGAATTTGTCAGCTCCCATCGCCAGCGCATACACGATGGAGGCCGAGGCCTAGTGACATGTAGATGGAAGTGGTTATAAGTGCTGATTCCGTTGCCGTGTAAGGTAGCCAGGTAGGCCTCGATCAACGTTGGGCAGGGATCAGGAGGGCTCAAAAGTTCCTAGGCTAAGCAGCTAGAAGCTACTGCTTATTCGGGATCGTCGGCCGGGTCTAATGCTGTTCCAACGACACTGCAGCGGTATTTGTTATCCGCGGGTGGCAGACAAGTGGTTTCTCATAGCGGAGAGGATCCTAGGAGCATGACTCAGATGAGACCAACCCGCCTCTCCGGATCTCGAGTTATGGTACCTAACTATGGTTCGATGATGACAAAGATACCCACCTCGAAAATGTGAGGTATTTCCGCATAGAATAAGCCTAGAGACATCGCAATAAGCCAACGTGACAGCATGAGCGAAAGTGGGGTTGCGCCTAGGCTATGAGACCCGGCCGTCCGCTTGCCCTACGGGGAGGGGATCGCGGACAGGGCCAGAGCTACGGCGACGTCAACCATCCGTCAGCCTTAAGCATCAAATCCGAGACGTCGCTTAAAGACTGGCCGGTAACGTAGCCAACCCGCGTCATCGCGTGGCGACGGCTTAAACGGACAATAGATTCCTTGTTTTCACCTGGAGGGCGCGAAGACGCGTCCTGGCCCGGTCGTAGACCTTCGTATGCCTAGATGCCTGGAACGGGTCAGCTAGTAGCTTGTTGTTTATGTTGATAAGCCAGCCGTCCGTAAACGAGCCAGTGGGAGGGCCGGTCAATAGACCGCACGGCCCAGGCCCACGGGGCCGAGAAGCAGGCCAGGGCTTCGGCCCCGCGTGTGGTGTATATATATATATGTGTGTGTGTGTGTGTGTGTGTGTGTGTGTGTGTCTGTGTGGCCTGAATCCTGTCTGCCATGTGGGAGGCGGAGAGCCAAGAAGTTTTCCGAGCACAGCATTTGTTAGGCGTTAATATAGGGCAAAGCTGCTGAGCTCACGCGGGCGAGATTTAGGCTGGACGTGGGACGGCCTACTATCAATAAGGCTTCGAGGCGTGGTCTACGGTCTTATGTAGGTATCTGCGGACGCTGTGGCCCAGAATTGTGTGCTGTAAGAGCAAGTCGGGTTTGCGGTTAAGATCGGAACAGTCTCAGTTTACATATACTTATGCTGGAGGCGGTTTAGTCAAGCACGACACGAAGGCACCAGGCCCGGATGCGACACAGTTTCGACTTGTGGCCTTGGACAAGGGGTAGTAGACCCCAGTG